AGGATACTGGGTACAGGATACTGGAACATCTTCTTGAATAAGCAATCAAATAAGTACTTATGGAACATATTCTCAAATAAACACTTCTTGGACATATCTCGAAAATTATGAATGAATTTTGATTGTCAATTGAAACATTAATCAATCTAATATTATTTAGAATGCAGAAAATAAGTTAAACTAACTTCATTTTGACGAGAATTTTTTTTTAATTTCATGAAAAATTTGCTAAAATGAGTGAAAATTTAAAAAAACGGTGTATTTTCCAGGATAAAATCCGTACAATCCGTACAATTTGAAAACAAATCCGTACAATCCGTACAATTTTAGGGTTAAAAAAAAATCAATCCGTACAATCCGTACATTTTGGCCACCCTGTATCTGTCTGTTTGTTTGTCCGATCATAACTCAGGAACCCCTGGACCGATTTGCCTCAAATTTTGATTGGGGAACTCGGGAGACCCACGGGAATGTTCTTAGCCTTGTTTTGAGATTCTAAGTTGAGTGGGTCGACTTTTATAGCGAAAATTTAGTTTCCCTGTAAAATTGGTTAAGTGCGGGTAACGGGGGGAGTAACTTTTAGTAACCTTTGCAATTGGTTCCCAAGCTATAGTACATATACATAGATAAAGATAATTCCAAGGTTTCCTTTGTAGACGAAGTACAAAGAAACCTGAAAGATTTAGAGAGGAGAATTCAGACTCGGAACCAAGACCAACTAAGGTTAGTTAGTTATATCACATTAATGTTTAAGGGGTGGGATTGTTAATCCCGCAGTGAGTTAACTAAACGTATAATCTTTTTTTGTTTGAATTTATTGTTATGTATTGATTTATTTATGTTCATGAATTTCATAGAATTTTAATGTTTTTGAATCTTGGGGTCAAGTTTTGATCTCAACCTAATGCAAACCTATGGATTAATCATATTTCTATTCGATATTCAGTGGTGGATATATCCTAGAGGGATGACTTTTATTGGATGATCAAGCATTAAGATTTTATTCCATTTTGAGAGAATTAATATCCCGTGTATTTTCCTGTAATTTGAAAATCTTCTAGGATATTATTTCTCATAATTGTCCAGGGACATTTTGAGAAATAACGTCCCAGAAGATAATTGATAAATCTAACATGTTCCTTGCCAGTTCAACTAACACTGACAAATTCTGGATTTTTTACTAAATTTTGCGGATTTTAGAGGGTTTTTTTCGTTTTTTCGGTTTAAAAGGAATAAAATTATATAAGCAACTGCCTTGCGTAAAAGGAAAATTTTAACACAAGGCATAAATAGATTAACGATACTCCAAGCTAAAGTTCTGACCTTATTTTTAGCTTTTTCTTTATGTCAGTAAATATTATTTTTTAGGAACGCAGACGCCTTAATCTTGATTTAAGCGAAACTTCAGAAACAGATTCCAAGGTACAGCAGATTAAAAATAAAAAGATATATTTGGGTTTAACATAAGCTTACCAAAACATAGCACTAATACTATAACTATTTTAGAGTAAAGGGAAAGGGAAGTCCACCAAGGCTCTAAGTAGAAGGCCAAAAACAAACTCTGAACAAACCAGCTCAAACAGGTAAACATCATTTGTATATGAAATATTGTGCTGTTTTCTTCGTTTGAAACAGATTCTCGATTTTTGTAAATTCTAGTTAATCTAAATACTAACACTAAGTTTAAATTAAAGTATAAAAAATATTTTAACCATTTCAAATTGTCATTAAAAAAAAGAAAAAACAAATTTGGCTAATTTTTTACTACTTGTATTTAGATCTCGTTCTGCACTTGCTCAAGAAGACACCCAGTCAAGCGAAGAAAGTGAACAAGTGAAGAAATCTACGAAAAAAGGTCGAAGTGGCGGGAAAAAATCGTCTAAGAATTCAGATGAATCGGAATCTGATGATGATATTCCTATTTCTGTCAGAAGAAACATCACACCAAAGAAGAAATCGATAAACGGGAAAGGTGTTAAGAATGCCGGTAGTAAAACTCGCGGAAAAGGTAACATAATATCCTTTGTGTGCTAAAATTTAAAGAAGACGAAAAACACAACAACTTTTTTGTTAAGATTCAGAAGAGGAGTTGGAAACTGAAGAACTTACTGAAGAAGAGGAAGACATTGAATCTACTCCAAATACTTCTGAGGTTTATTTTTTTTGTTTAAGTTTTTTTAGTTTATGGAATTATTTGCGAAACTTTGTTTTCATAAGATTAATTTTCATATTTACTTTTAGTCTGAAGAATATGATCAAAAAAGGAAAGATCCATCCAAATCTTCGAGAAAAGGGAAAAAGCGTAAACATTCTGATGATGAGGAAAGTCAGGCCCTTCCCCGGCCTCGGAGACAAGCCACTGCTCGAGCTATATCAAAGTTTCAAGAATCCAATTCTGACGACGACGACACTGAACCTCTTGGGCGAAGACGGGATCGCAAAAAGCAAGGGGTTCATATCCAACCAGCTGCTAATCGACGAAAACAAAGAGTAAAATCTGCCGAAGAGACTGTAACCATCTCTGCAGCAGATAGTAGCACTGATCCTAGGATTAGTTCTACCAGAAGACAAGAACATAACACTGAAACGGAATCAGAGGAAGAGCTGAGAGGATCAAGGGTTAAAAGACAAATTCTTCGTCCGGACTACAGCGAGGAAAATGAGCCGAGAGCCTCTGGATCTCAGAGAGGCCGAAGAAAAGAGGTTCCGAGTAAATCCAAGAAAAACTCTGGAGAGCACTCTGCAGAATCAAATAGGTCCAAGCGTAGAACGGTTCGTCCGGACTATAGTGAAGATCTCTTGGACGAAACTAACGGATCTTATCAATATGAAGACGAAGACGTGAATCCCAGACGAAAGAAGAATCGAAATGGTAATTCCGTGAAATTAAAAATCTACGAGGATGAGGATGCAAGTGAGATCAGAGAGGCAAGAGGAGAGCCCAGTAAGAGGCTGGTTTCCAGAGCTGAACCAGAACAAGAGGAGACTACTGGACGAACAGGACGAAAGATAGTAAAACCTGCTAGATTACAGGACTACAGCAATGACGAGCTAATCAGGTAAATTGAATTATTTTTAGCTTTTGTTTAAATAATGTTTTCTTCACAAATAGGATTTTTATTTCAAATTTTCTTTAATAATACAACCTTTAGGGAAGCCCGAAGAAAAAGTATGAAAAAGAAAAGGAAAACGTGGGAGGATGATTCTGACCACCAAGCTTCAAGGAAGAAAAGAAACGAGGGTGGTAGCGGAAAAAGAAATCGGAAGGAGGTTCGTTATACAGAGGAGTCAGAACCAGAGAATAGGAAATCCAAGGGTCGCCGGAAGTTAGGTAAACAAATTGTTTTGTAAATCTTTAATCTGCAATTCGTTTGATAACAAACAGTAAAGAAGTTACACTCTCTTCTTCCCTTTTATTATTTATATGAATAGAAATAATTTTGACTTTGGTTTCGAAAAAGATAACTTATTTCTGTTTAGAAAATGAACCCAACTACAGAGACCATTCTGAGACCGAGGACGACGAGGAGGAGATAAGACCCAGAAAACGCGGGAAACTGGTTTCAGCCAATCCGCCAATCAGCGAGGAGTCGGAGGACGAAGAACCGCTGAGGAAGCGTGGTAGAACTTCAGTTCTTCAACACAAATCTCAAGAAGATTCTGAATCTGAAGAAGAAGAGGAAATACCAAAGAAGAAGAGCGGAAGAAACCCAAACTCTAATTCCAGATCTAGATTAAATCCTCGTGATGAGAGACAGGATGAAAGTTCGCGGGGTAATGATAACGACAGCGAAGAAAGCGATTATGGAAAAAGGTAACTTAATAGAAAAAATTATTTTATTCGCCGTTTTAAATTTTGTTTGTTAGAATTTCTTTGTCATTGTTATTGTTAATATAATCGAGAATATGTCAGGGATTTGAACTGATTTTTGACATTCAGATTTTATTCCATAAATCGTACATTAAAAATCATGCAACAATATTTTTTAAGATTGATATTTTATTCTAGAAAGCGACCACGTCGCCAGACCTCCGGTCATCTGAAGGGTGAATCCTCTCGACCTCAGCGATCTGCCGGTCAGAGTGGTAGATCTAGGTACAGAGAATCCTCAGATGAAGATCCGCATCCTAAACGGCATCACAGGTTTCAAATCAAATAATATTGTACAAGGCTCGCTTAAGACATCCTTTCCTTGGGTCAGAAATTAAAATCCTCCCCATATTCTAAATTTAAGCCAGATCTTTATCTTATAACAAAATAGAATTTAGATTTTTTCAGGGGTCATACGTTTCACATTATTTTGACATTTTCACAGACACACTACAAAAAATTCCCTGTACAATCGTTTATTTTCCCCTATTTAGTGACTGGAAACTAAAAAAGAGAGCCCTTCAAAATGGTTTTTATTAGCCCCGACTTTGAATTGTTTGAGTAAAAAATGAAATTTTTGTTTTTTGTTTGTTGATGGTGTTCTTTTTTCAGGGGTAAAATTAGCAGGACTGTTCAAGAGGAAGCGTCAGGTACCAAATTAAAATATTAAATTTTTTCTTTTTTAAATAAACTGACTTGACTTCTATCTAATAGGATAAAAAAATTTTTTTTCACAAATACTAAAATATGTTACATTGAATTCTTGTTTTTCTCCTTTCTTTATCCCCAGAAAAAAATCAAGATAGATTCAATCGTTTTTTCTGATTAACGCAGTCAAAACGGAAAAAAAATTTTAGATAAGAAAAACAATAAACAAAAATATGTTTCATCAAGATATTAAAAGTTCAAATTTTAGATGGAAGTTCTGAAGAGACAGAAGATACTTCACTTCTTACAGGAATCAGTTCAAGGGGTAGAGTCAGAAAACCTAATCCTAGACTTCTAGATTAGATCTAGTCCTAGACTTCTAGATTAGATCTAGTATCAAGGGTTAAAAGACAANCTAGACTTCTAGATTAGATCCAGTCCTAGACTTCTAGATTAGATCTAGTCCTAGACTTCTAGATTAGATCTAGTCCTAGACTTCTAGATTAGATCCAGTCCTAGTCTTCTAGATTAGATCCAGTCCTAGACTTCTAGATTAGATCTAGTCCTAGGCTTCTAGATTAGATCCAGTCCTAGACTTTTATATTAGATCCAGTCCTAGGCTTCTCGATTAGATCCAGTCCTAGACTTTTAGATTAGATCCAGTCCTAGGCTTATAGATTAGATCCAGTACTAGACTTTTAGATTAGATCTAGTCCTAGACTTTTAGATTAGATCCAGTCCTAGGCTTCTAGATTAGATCCAGTACTAGACTTTTAGATTAGATCCAGTCCTAGACTTCTAGATTAGGTCCAGTCCTAGGCTTCTAGATTAGATCCAGTCCTAGACTTTTAGATTAGATCTAGTCCTAGACTTTTAGATTAGATCTAGTCCTAGACTTCTAGATTAGATCAAATCCTTGACTTCTAGATTAGATCTAGTCCTAGGCTTCTAGATTAGATCCAGTCCGAGACTTCTTGATTAGATCCAGTCCTAGTCTTCTAGATTAGATCTAGTTCTAGACTTCTAGATTAGATCTAGTCCTAGGCTTCTAGATTAGATCCAGTCCTAGGCTTCTAGATTAGATCTAGTCCTAGGCTTCTAGATGAGATCCAGTTCTAGACTTCTAGATTAGATCTAGTCCTAGGCTTCTAGATTAGATCCAGTCTTAGACTTCTAGATTAGCTCTTGTCCTAGGCTTCTAGATTAGATCTAGTTCTAGACTTCAAGATTAGATCTAGTCCTAGGCTTCTAGATTAGATCCAGTCCTAGACTTCTAGCTTAGATCTATTCCCTGGCTTCTAGATTAGATCCAGTCTTCGATTTCTAGATTAGATCTAGTCCTAGGCTTCTAGATTAGATCTATTTCTAGACTTCTAGTTAGATCTAGCCCTAGGCTTCTAGACTAGATCTGGTTCTAAACATCTAGATTAGATCTGGTTCTAAACATCTAGATTAGATCTAGTCCTAAACATCTAGATTAGATCTAGTTTTAAACATCTAGATTAGATCTAGTTCTGAACATCTAGATTAGATCTAGTTCTAAACATCTAGATTAGATCTAGTTCTAAACATCTAGATTAGATCTAGTCCTAGACTTCTAGATTAGATCTAATCCTAGTAGCTTAGGTTAAATCCTAAATTCTAAAATCAGATTTAGTTATTTTATGATAATTTCGTATCTCACTTTCTTTAAAAATGAAGATTATTTATTTTGTATTTCTAATTAAGTACTAAGAAAAAATGTAAATAAAATAAAACCGTGTAATGTGTATCTTTTCGTGAGATATTTTTTTCAAATTTTTTGTGCGTTAAAAATTAATTTTGAAGTATTGTTATTCACATATTATGTATTTTTTGCAATACTTTTAAATTAAATGTTTTGTGTCGTGCCCCACCCGAGAAATCTGATACTTAAAAACACCAAAAAGGAAATGTTTCATTTTAAATTTCACAAATTTGCCAATTTTGTCAAAACTTAATTTTTTCACTCTGACCACTTTTTGTCCCCGTCAATATTGTCAAATTCTGTTCCAGTATTTATTTTTAATGTAAAGGGTATACGCCCCCCCCCCTTGTTAGTTTTAAGAACTATTTTTGTGCATAATAATTGTGATATTAAAGTTATTGGCCAGCACACTGCCTTTTGTATTTTTACAGGAATAAACGACTGAAGTATTTACAGACTGCGAATTCAAATATAGTGTGATAGCTGTCTGGGGAACCCAGTGTTGCCGGGAAATTAAAACCGACCAATTCATCATGGAAATTTTTATTTTAACTAAAAACATTTCCTTGTTTTTACGCGTTTTTCAATCAAAATTTGGGACAAATCGGTCAAGGGGTTTGTTAGATATGATCGGATACCTAAGCAAACAAACCGAGATGACTACTTTATATTGATAGATTAGTAGCAATGTTTGAATGTTAGTATGTGACCCTCTTTGCAAAGATGGCATTGTCCGATTCACAAGGTGTCGTTGGTACTTTAATTTATTTGCTTTCCTGTAGTAGAAATACGCAAGTCACATATTTGCAGTAAACCCACAATCATAAGTGATAAGTTTTCATGATCATGAGTATCAATATCTTTTTAACTTTAATAATTTATTTTTGGATAAGGGTTGTGGGCACAAGCTCACGCTTCCAAATACAACGAAATAATCTATTTTCAGTTTGTCTTTCTATTATTTTGTTTTGCTCAAGATCAGTTAAAAGTCATATACCCCAACGTTTTGTGTTGCGCCATTGTCTTAAAAATCCTTTAACCCTTTAAACCATAGTGAACACTTATTTTACGCGGCTTGATCTTGCCTCCCTATTTTTCCTTATGCTTAGCTATTAGGTTTGGTTAATGATTTAATTTTTGTTAATCGCATGTAGCGTTGATTTGCCAGTGACTTGTAGAAAGCTGGATTTTCAAACATAATTGAGTTATGGTCTTTTTTTCAGTCAATCATAAAAAGTAAAAGGAAAGAAATAGGGAATTTTTCCTTTAAAGAATTGATTTTGTTTTCTTTTGTCTTTTCTCTTCCATCTATCATTTCCTTTCTTTTTTTGTTTTCTGTGTTCACTGGCTCCGCAAAAAAAATTCTCTCAAATTCTCCTACTTAACTTTTCTTTACTTACTAGGAGTGGGATTCATGTTGTGTTCAATGACCCGAAAAATTCCAAAACAGAGAGGGGGATTGAATTTTGTAGATCCAGAAAAATAATTAAATTAGTATTTATTTAGGGTTAGGTTTGGTTAAAACACTTTCTGGGCCGAGCCCTGCGGCCACGGGTTAGGTTAATTGTTATGACACTTTCTGGGCCGAGCGATGCGGCTAGGACAGGATAGGGGGCCGAGCTCTGCGCCCACATGTCTTACATTTAAGACCCCACCAGCTGCTAGTCTCTACGCAGACATCCCACAGATATCATTTTTCTGGATTTACAAAATGCAATCCCCCTCTCTCTGTTTTGGAATTTTCCAGGGCATTGAACACAACATGAATCCCACTCTGCCTACTTACTAGTGCTATCCTTTCTGCACTTTAATTGGATCAGCCTGTGTAAATGTCATGTTCATCAGTGCCCATCATTTGTCTATTGCTTGACAGAATATTAATATCTAATTCATGCTTGATCGGACAAAGTTTTCAGGGTACGGTTGTTAATCGGTCCCTTAAAGCAGGTCCTCGACACAATGTTGCAGCGAGGGAGGGAAGGCAATCTCCCCCTCACAGCTTACGAACCTCATTCTTTTTGCGGCATTGCATGTCACCATAGGGCTTCCGAACCTCCTCCAAACAGTCTTCCTGGAATGATCTTCCATCTATAATCGTCAATTTCTACTTAAAACGGGACTAATTTGATGATTTAAGCACGGTAGTCAATCTATGTAGGAATCAAGCATTTAACCTCAACCTGAAAAAGTGCCCATGTTTAAAGAAAATCCGCGAAAATATTTCGACAATTGGTTAAAAAAAAGCTGATTTTAATCCTAATTTAAGGATCTATTCCTTACAGAAATGTTGTATTTTTGTCCTTTTTTATTGAGCAATAGTTTTAACTATTTCTCACTTCTCAGTACGCCAATGAAGAAAAAATGTTCATTGTCGAGTCGATCAAGGGTAGCTTTCCGAGCTACAGGGTTACCCACAATAGGATAAGACTTCAGAGACGACTCTATGGAATTTTTGCTGTTTATTTCCTAATGTCTATCATTCCCTGCAACTGCAGCTAACAATTGTTTGTTTCTATGTTAAAATTGTTAAACCAAAATATTAGTACAATTAGTACTATATTATATCCGAGGCAAAAGAAAATAATTTTAACCTTGTAATTGTAGCATCATATTTTCAGAGTTTTATGTTGTCTTTACAGTCTCATTGTTTGTAAGTAACCCTGTAAATAATTAAAAATATTGTTATAATGTCGTCTTCTTATTCTTCTTTTGCAATTGGATACGAAATATTTTCTTAAATCATTATTCTCTTTCATTGTTATTCGCAAGGCTTTTGGCATGCCTACTCAGCTACAGGGTGTCCCATGAAACATGACATTTAATAAATAGCTATTTTTAGTTTAAAAAATCTTTTGCTTAGTTATATTTTACTTTTAAATCAATGTTGATATAATATGACATGACTCCCATATAATATTTTTATTGAATTTTGGTAACACACAACTGAATTAATTATGGAAAAAGACATTCTAAACTATTCACTAACTGTCATGTTTAGTGGGACACCCTGTAGTTCTGAATACTGAATTAGGAATGTGTGTTTTTAATGAACTTGTGAACATCCCTAATAACAGCTGATTCCGGGGTCACAGTGTACACAAATGTTTCGTAAGATTTGTGTACGCTATCATAACAAACTCTTTAAACCAAACATTTGGCTTTTAGTAAGTTTGTTAAAAATCTTCACGACAGAAAAAAATCTCATTCTCAAGAACTGATGAGGGTCAATCAATAAAATGTGGAACTCACATCTTCTTTTATTTTTCTACAGAGTCCATCATCACCGAATTTTAAACCAAATTTAATTATTGACAACCGAGGTGAAAGGTACTCTGCTAAAAGCATACAAACTCATAATCATAGGAATGTGTACTACGCGAATGCGATATAGTCTACAGTCATCTTAGGGTGTATAGAAAATGTCATCATGCCTGGAGCGTTGCTATGGAAACGCCTCACTACGGAAATGCCTCAATCTCAAAACAGGGAAACCCCTCAAAAGTAGTTTATTTGAGTTGTTCCGAGATTTCTGAGAAAAATGCGGAGATCCCTCAGAACCCAGTTTTTGAGAGGGAACCTTTTTATTTTGTGGCGTTTCCTGATATATTTGACATATTTTTTTTCATTTATATTTATTCATATTTATATCTGACAAATATTTTTGAGGAATTTCCCAATATTTTTGAGACGTTTCCTACCAATAACATTGCAACCGCTTTAAGTGAAAATATAGGCTATGATAACGTTTTTAAGTGAAATCAGAAGTGTATTTAACCTTAGACCTCCTAGGATCAGTGAAATCCATGGCCCAAACATATGCTGAGCACCCCCCCCCCCCCTAAAATTCCTGTGTACGCGATCTATTTGATTTTGAAATATCCTCTCATTGAAATATTTTGTTTTAAAAGGGTAAACCATGTTTATGGTAAGATTTAAGTAAATATGAGGTATATTCAACTTTCAAGTTTGTGGACTGTTTGTTGGGTTTTTGAGGGTTCTTCCTGCTCAGACATTTCCTTGTTCTGCCAACACTCTCAATTATGCCTTTTCCCTTTTAACACACTTGTAGACTGTTGCCTTGACCATATCATTCTCCTCTAATGCATTTTGAATCATGTCAAAGGTGTCTGCTTTGTATTTAGAAAGTTTTAGGCCTGAATTTTTGTGTATCTAGTGTCTCTTTCCTGGGTTGGTATTAAGAACATTCCCGTGCTGTGACAACGGATCTTAACAACTGAGCCGGGAAAATCTGGATTATATAGAAATACAAATTTTGATAAATAAAGTCTGTTACGAGAAAACAACCGGGATGGATACACTCAGCTTTGAAAAAAAATAACATGGCTGAGACGCCATAAAGTATCTTTAAAATTATTTTTGCATTACTTATTGAACATATACCTCATACAAATATTTAAGGGTTTCAATGAGAACTTTGGTTTAATTTAGAGTGTTATTGATTAATATGTGATTCATGTTTATAGATAAAAATGCTAATTTCTTCTCATAAAGTTTTGAGGGGAATTAGAAGTATAAGTAGAATATATATTGGAGAAGATGTAATAGCAAGAAGAGGAATTATAAGCTCGCGATTCATCAATTCAATTTCAGGTTAAAATATATTTCCCTTGAAATCAATCATCTTTACCATGGAGTCTATCCAGAGACGTATTCAGGGGGGCAGTGAAATCTATAGCTTTTAGGGGTTTTGGGCTCCGATGGGTGCAGGGCCTCCCCCCCCTGGACGAATTCCTGAATTTGCCCGTGAGTTTATCTATTAAACCATGGAATTTATCATCTTTTCTAATCAATTATCTTTACAATTGAGCGAGTTTACTATCTTTACCATGGAGTTTATCATCAAACAACCAATAGAGTTTATCATCTTTAACATGGAGTATATTATCTGAAACATAAAGCTTATTGTATAAACCATGAAGTTTATCATCTAAACCTTGGAGTTTATTATCTAAAGTTTATCATATAAATCATAGGAATTTATCATCTTTACCAAGGAATTTATTCTCTAAGCCCCCTGGAGTTGTTCTTTAAAATCATGGACTTACCTATTAAGTTTATCATATAAACTATAAGTTTATCTTCTTAATAATGGATATTATTATTTAAACTATGAAGTTTATAATATAAGTTTATAATGCCTTTTATGACCGCAAACATGTACATGTACGAAGTACTTGTTTTTAACTAGTCTCTGAGAAATAATAAGCAAAATTCTCATCAATTTTCGCGTATCTTCAAATCAAAGTGCCATTTATTAAATCCTGCCCTAGACCTGATTCCATAATAGTTAATCAATTATCAAGAATAGAAAATAGTTTGAATTTCGATTCAGGATCCAAGAAATGGAAAATAAATATGCTGTACGACAGTGAGTGTCCCTTATGCATGCATGAAGTTAATTTCTTAAAATCCTAAATAAGTTTCTGTTTACGCCTCTGGTCAACTAAAAATCCCCCTTTCTCCCTTGTAAAGGACAAGGGGGAGATTTTAAAGCTTTGGGGGTAAAGAATTTGCAAACTTATTTTCATCATTTATATAGGTGAAATAAATCAAAAATTTACTTTCTTCTTTTTATATAAAGGGGTCCCTGAATTATTGAGTACCTAACGACGACTTTTGGACAATAGACATTATGTTAAAAAACAAATAGTGAAAATTGTAGTAACCCAGGATAAGATGATTTTTGGAAATTTTTTTTTTCCGAGAAAGTATTTGAAAAATTCCTATTCCACTTTATTCTTGCGACCACTGTAATTAATCACAGTGTACTAAACTAGGTGTAAGCTACGAGGAAGGTATGAAGAAGATACACGCAGTTACGTCTTCGGGAGAGGTCATAGTCGGGATGCATGTCTTCAGGGAGGTCTACAAGGTAGGAAGGTCTTATAATTAGGTCATGTCTTCACTCAAGTCAACAATGTAGGTCATCTCTTCACTTATACAGGGAGGTCTACAAACTAGATAGTTTCTTCAGGGAGGTCTACAAGGTAGGTCATGTGTTCAGGGAGGTATACAAGGTAGGTCATGTCTTCAGGAAGGGTTACATGGTAGGTCATGTGTTCAGAAGGTATACAAGGTAGGTCATGTCTTCAGGAAGGGTTACAAGGTAGGTCATGTCTTCAGGAAGGGTTACAAGGTAGGTCATGTCTCCGGGGAGGTCTATAAGGTAGGTCATGTCTCCAGGGATGTTTACAATTTTTAAAAATATCTAAACCTCCGAACAGAAAATAAATAAGATAAATAATTAAAAGTCTGTCATCCTTGATAAGCCAAAATTTTATAAGGTACCGTTGTGAATCGGGTGGCGGGCTTTTGGATCTTATTTCTAAAGTTTTCATATCAGAAATAATTCTGAAGAACTGAAAATATAATGTTAAATATAATTTTGGAAGTTCGCAAATAGAACATGTGTAATCTTCTTGTTTTGTCCGGGATGCTGCATAAGCACCAAGCTTTAAACCCCTTTTTCAGGCTGTTGGCTTAGGATGGGTCTGGGCATTTACTCAGTTACCAGGTCTGAAATTATTTCTTTTTTCTACTTACATAACACAATTAAGTAAAAGTTTATAGCCGGTGACTGACTCCGCTAATTTTGATTTTTAAATGAAGAAAAAATTGAAATTTCTTCATGAAATCTAGAAAATCTTTGACATTTTTTTTTTCGAAATGTCGAAAAGCTTGCGGATAGATCAGCAACAAAAAGCTAATTTCGGTACGATGCGCCCTTTAGACCTTGGGGCTAGGACCGAATTTAATGAATTTGAGCTAGGTCACTAAACTACATACCGTCGATTTAAATTCTTATCTGTAGTTCTGCAGTGAAGTTATATCAACAATAAGGACATGTAGACAAATCCTTCATGTTCTATAGATATAAACAACTATACTGAACTATTTGAATCGACGGTAGGTAGTTCAACGACTTAGCTCAAATTCATTAAATTTGGTCCTATTGTGATCAAGATTTTTTTCCCCATTCGAATTAATTTATTTTTAGGATTTAACTCTGTATGTGATAGATTTTACGATTATTGGGCGGCTTGGCGCATGAAAATAACAGGTTTTTAAAAACATAAAAATCATCAAAATGTTTCAACTTTTTATGTCAAATTTTATATTTTTTTTATTTTAAGGTCGACCTGAGCTTGAACACGTGTTTGCGGAGAGAAAACAGATTCTTAAAAAGTTTAACCAAGGGTATTAATAATTATTATTAAATCTTACGCGTATAAAAATAAAAATTAAGAAAGTAATAAAGGAGGGTTCATCAGTTTCATGGAATTATAGAAATTTTTCAAAATATGATTATGAATTCTATAAAATTACTATGCAATTCAAGTTTGTAGGAAGTGTTAAATAATTCATTCTCTGTTAGCCCTTTCCAGATTGTTAAAAAATACAAATTTTCATTTTAACTCAATTTTTTTAACTTTCCAAACCGAAGGGTTTAAATGGATACCCCCCCTGTCCTTTTTGACAGGGGGAGGATTTATAAGACAAAAATATCCCAACCGGAATAGGGTTAAAGTAAATTTAAATTCCTTTTTTTAGATCTGATAAGCTTTGTGAAGACGAGTGCAAAGTGAAGAACTAGAAATACAGTCTAAACACAGAGAGAAGTTATTAAGATTATAATCATATTTCAAATTAAAGTATGAATATAGATCATAATCTTTCTGTAATTTCAACTAATGAAAAATATAATAATTATCGCTTACTCATTAACTTCATTTTCTTCAGAGTATTGCTTTGTAAGCAAACTCTGTAAATTTTAATCTTGTAGCTAATTTGTTGTTCAAATGTGTTTTAAAAATCAAAGTAAATGCCTTAAGACCTTTAAAACAACAAAACTACTACAATGAAATGCGCCAATTTTGTTTGCTGACATTATTAAAAATGTACTTAACGATTTTTAATTATAGAAATTCACCTATAGTAAATCATAGATTTTTACTGTTAATAAAATTCAATGATACATTAGGACCCACAAAAATGTGGAAAAGGAAGACGACAGTTACTGCTTGATTTATGTCATGGTTTTTAATAGTCCAATGAACATGAAATGCAGTAATTGTGCTGCTGTGCAGTGTACAGAGAGCCATTAAACTGAATAAGCTGATTTTTAAGCACTTTGTAAATTTTTTTTAGTTAATCAAATATACATAAGATTGTTTAACTATCGTCTTCCTATTTTACAATTTCTGAGCCTTAGGTCTAATGTCGACTCTGATCGATCTTGGAAATGTTTAGTAGCTTAATATTTTTAAATTGATACTTTGCCAGGAATCTCAATCAAGCGGAGTTGCTATCTATACAAAATATAAGATATGGTTGTTAATCGTTTTTGAGAACGATCATTAAACGATCGTTTTTTTCGTTTTCCTATCGTTTTTTGTTTCGTTTTTCGATCATTTTCAAAACAATCGTTTTAAAAACTTTTTTAAAAAACGACAGTTTTTAAAACAATCGGAAAACGAAACAAAAAACGATAGGAAAACAAAAAAACGATCGTTTTTAAAAAAAAAATGAAAACGTTAACATCCCTAGATATAAGTAAAAACAAACCGAAAAGTGAGTGATATAAACTTAAGTTTTTGGTTTATTTTTCTATATTTATATTTTTTTCAATTCTTCTCTCAGGGACATAATTTGGTATAGTGTATACTGTATAGGTAACTTCCAAGCAAATGTATATAAAGGGTGGACACGAAAAAACTGTCCTTCTACTTTTTGGCCTCCTACAACAGGCAATTAATCAAAATCTGTAAAACTAAAAGGACAGATTTTTCGCGTCAACCCTTTAAATATGTAAAGCTTTAAATCATAATGAGATTGTTGTAGCAGTTTTCTTAGATCTGCAAAAAGCATTTGATTTGGTAAACCATGATATTTTACTTATGAAATTGAAGAAAATGGGGGTTCGGGGAAGCTCGTTAAAATGGTTTGAAAGTTATTTGAAAAATAGAAAACAGTTTGTAATGATTAATGGAGCCTTTTCGGAATTTTTTAAACTTTTAAACATTGGTGTCCCCCAGGGGAGTATTCTTGGCCGTCTTCTGTTTCTATGTTTTATAAATGATATGTTTAAGTCAAATTCTCTTTTGAATTTTGAATTTGCAGATGATACCTCAGCTCTTTGCAGGGGTTCTGATATACATTTTCTTTGCAATTTTGTCAATATTGAACTCCAAAAACTCGGAGTCTGGCTTCGTGCTAATAAGCTTTCCATCAATACTGACAAAACTAAAATTATGATATTTCACTCCAAAGGAAAGCATATTCCTGATGTCGTCTTCAAATTTGATAATGATTCTGATACTCTTTCTAACCCTTCAATTGTATTTCCTATTGAAAGAACTACTAATAAATCGAAAGTTCCAGCATTTAAAATCCTCGGTGTTTATCTTGATGAGAATTTGACTTTTGACTTTCATTTTAAATCTATTACATCAAAAGTCTCAAAGTCTTTTTTCTCATTAAAAAATGCTAAACAAATATTGACTTCATCAGCCCTTACATATCTTTACTATGCTTTAATTCATCCTCATTTCTTGTATTGTTTACCAATTATATCTTGTACTAGCCAGAAAAATGTAAATATTTTATTTAAGAAACAAAAATTAGCTATTAGATTGATAACCAAGTCTAAATACAGGGTGTCCAAAAAAACATGGGAATTCAGTGACGAATTCGATATCGTCTTTGTTATGAATTAGCATTGTAATACCTAATTTCAAAAGCCATAATATTATTATGTCTGCTAGAGTTTATTTAATGAAAAGGGTAAAAGACTGAAAAGATGTGTCTATAATGTCTCCGCAAGATGAACAGTGAATATGGACAAGTTTACTCTGTTTGTATACTGTAATTTTCTTGTTTTACTAAGTACAACCGGTTGCAGTCAAAACATAAACAAACAAAATGTAAACATAGCAGACGAAACTCTTACAGATTACAGCTTTCTCAGTAGGTATCACTATACTAAATCAAAGAATTATTCATAAAGACGATATCGAATTCGTCACTGAATTCCCATGTTTTTTGGGACACCCTGTATAATGCTCATTCACAGCCTTTATTTTATAGCACAGGTATTTTACCTTTACCTGAGCTGATCTTACAGCAAAAACTTCAATTTATGCATTTATTCAATCATTCTCTATTGCCTAGTTCTTTTGATGAATTATTTTTAAGAAATGCTTCACTTTTTGGAAACCTTTATTTTATGAGAAATTTAAATGACTTTTATGTGCCGGGAGTAAGAACAGAATTTCTTAGACGATTTCCTTTTTACTCATTTCCCACTGCATGGAATTTTCTTTCGTCTGAATTTAAAGAAATAGCTCAAAAATCCATTTTGAAACAGTCGTTAAAAGCCAAACTTTTCGATAATCTTAAAGATTTTCAATGTGAAAAACTATTTTGCAATTCTTGCTCCTCCCTTTAACTCTCATTTATTTTTATGTGTTCCACCCCGAGAATGGAGGTATCCGACCTCTCCTTGACGGATTCCTGCACGTTTATGAACTGTATCCTCTCCAGTAGCTCCAGCTCCCTCCATCCCATGAGCAGCATGACATCCAGCAGCACCTCTTCTTCAAGTCAGCACCATTGCAAAAACTGACTCTCCAGTGGGAGGCTGCGTGTTAAACAGCCCCTGGCTATTAATGCCTCCCCGTCTCAAGTTTATAAATATATTTTGAAATATGATATTTTCTATGTTTTTGGCTTGGGACAAATATATATATTTGATTTGATTTGATTTGCTTTGAAGTTGCATTTTGAAATTTGTAAAATTTCTCAGGTTTTCATTTAACCAAAATAAGGCCAAGCACTACATCTGATGTGAAGTATATGAATATTATCTAATTGTATTAAGCTTTATTTAATTTTAAATGTTGCTTGAATTTAAATTTGTCCTCCATTCCCATAAAACCCATTTGGCTCAACTGTCTCTGTCCAAGCAGATTCTAAAAAAATAAATTCTAATAAAAAAATCTTGAAAAGATTAAATTTTTAGATAAAAGAGATTGTATTCAGATTATTAAACAGGAACCTTGATTTGAAATAAATTTTAAAAATATTGATGTTTACTTTCTAAAAGTTGCAGAAAATTGATATTTACATTCGAATTTTTAAAAACTGCCTTGGAAATAGAATAATCGTTATTTTCGAGGTTTTACGGCAATTCAAACAATGATAAGGATTCAAGGGTATCATTGGTAGATAAGTGTAGATATAAGACATGTAGATATGTAGATATACGTGTAGATGACATACTTCGAATAAGTGCAACACAAGGTCCGTTGTCTACTTCTAGTATAATATCCATTATCCATGAGAGGGTTGGCCAGGTAGGGATATATTCAGCTGACCCACTGTTTCCACAACTACAATTAGACATTTAGTGGTGATTGTCGTCTTCTTTCTATTTTAATATTTGACAAGGTTAGGAACCCAGCTTTGTCTGGAAACTAAGTTTTTATTACTAAAGTCCATCGTTACAGCTTAGTATTTTTAAGCCAAGCTAAGAATGTTCCCGTTAGTCCCGTTGTGCATAGTGTCACACATTACCTGTAGTCCTGTTTTATAGTGTCACACATTACCTGTAGTCCTGTGTATAGTCCTACCCTTTACCAGAGGTCCTGTTGTATATAACCTTACTCTTTACCTGTAGACCTTTTGTATAGTACCACCCTGTACCTGCAGACCTGTTGTATAGTACCACCCTGTACCTGCAGACCTGTTGTATAGTACCACCCTGTACCTGCAGACCTGTTGTATAGTACCACCCTGTACCTATTCCATTGCATAGTTCCCCCCTGTAGTCCTATTACATGGCCCTACCCTACACCTGTAGTCCTGCTGTATTTTAGACCCACCCTGTAACTGTATGCCATTGTATAGTTCCCCCCCTCCATTGTATAGTCTTACCCTTTACCTGTAGTCCTGTTGTATAGTCCTACCCTACCAGAGGTCCTGTTGTACATAACCTTACTCTTTACCTGTAGACCTGTTTTATAGTACCACCCTGTACCTGCAGACCTGTTGTATAGTCCCACCCTGTACCTATTCCATTGTATAGTTCCCCCCTGTAGTCCTATTATATGGCCCTACCCTACACCTGTAGTCCTGCTGTATTTTAGACCCACCCTGTAACTGCATGCCATTTGTATAGTCCTACCCTGTACCTGTAGTCCTATTGTATTGTATTGTATTTTGTAGTTCCACCCTGTACCTGTAATTCATTGTATAGTTGCCCCCTGTACATGTAGGCCTATTGTATAGTGCCCCACTGTACCTATAATCTATTGTGTAGTCCCACCCTGTACCTGTAGTCATTTTCCTATACCTGTAGTCCCAAAGTAACCCAGCAACTTGAAAATTAATTTTGTATCCGCTTCTCCCAAATCTTGTCATTAAAATAGATCCGTAATCTCTCTAAAAAAATCTATGCAAACAAATTTTTAATTTTTAAAAATAATTTCGAGTATCAAGGTTTACAAATACAGGGAAGGATGTAATTTGTCATTTTGATTTTACTCAAATTTTTATTTTGATCAAATTTTGTTTCCAATCAATTTCTGATTTTAATCAAAGTTTTAGTCACTTAAACTGCGTTCAGAATTTCTTATTTTTTATCTTAGTAAAAAATATTTGTACTTACAAATCCTAAAACACTTTTCCCTCCAACTGTAATCCTAGAGGTATCACACTGCTTCTCCTTTAAAAAAAACATAAAGAAAAAAACTTTAAAACAAGATTCTTAGATTAGGATTCTCCAAAGAAAGAACAAGATAAATCACCCATGAAATTATTTTTAACAGGATTAACAAGATAATTAAATATTTTTTAGCAAATCTGGATATGAAACCTTTAATCTAGTGTAGTGACAAAACATTCTAATTTTTTCACCGATCTCGAATCCCTTTTAAATTTCTTTATATTTTTGTTCTTAAAAGTTCTTGAAAAAAAGTATGGCAATAAATGCTTTTGAAATAAAAAATTCTAAATAAAATGAATTAAATTTTAAACCATTTAAAAATGAATTATTGTATTTTTATACCTGTCCAAAACTACTGATACAATAGGTCTCGGCAGCGCTTTGATTTGGTCTTTTAACACACTCATTACTGAGCATTTCCTTGTGAATTGTAGTCTTTTATTATAATTTGTTATTTTTTATAAAAAATGTCGTCTTTTATTATGATGATTTGTTTGTTATGGAAATATCGTTTTTTATTTTAATAATTTGTTTGCTCTATCAGGCGCGTACACGGGGGGAGCAGTAGTCCTGTTGCCCCCCCCCCCCTGGGAGTTCCAGGGGGGCCCTGTGTACGCGCCTGTGCTCTATATAAATCTTCTCTTTTATTGTGAGGATTTGTTTGTTTTTATAGATATGTCGTCTTTTATTATGTTAATTCTGTTTGTTTTATAGCAATATCGTCTTTTATTATGTTAATTTGTTTGTTTTTATAGAAATGTCGTCTTTTATCCAGATATATTTTTTTTTAATAGAAATATCATCTTTAATTATGACAATTTCTGTGCTTTTATAGAAATGTCCTCTTTTATTATGATAATTTGTTTGTTTTATTATGATAATTTTTTTTCTTTTTATAGAAAATAGTCTTTTATTGTGATAATTTGTTTATTCTATAGATATGTCGTCTTTAATTATGATCATTTTATAGACGCAACAGATAGAAGGAAGATTAGTAGCGATCAAAAGCGATAATTTTTCACCGTAAGCCTATATACCCTTTCATTTTTTGGGAAAACTTTTCCATTAAAACAATAAGATATTGCCGAGAACGCCGTAAGCCTATATCCTCTTTCATTTTTCTTGAACACTCCCTTTAAACGCAAACAATGTGAATCTGATAATTATTACCGATAGACTTAGTTCAGCAAGATATGTTGTAGATCTTTGGTTTGGATATGGAGGCCTGAAATATATTTTTTTAATAATTTAATTGATCAGATTTAATTATTTTTTTCCTTCGATATTTAAAGGGACAGTAAAGGAAAAATGAAAGGGGGTATAGGCTGAAAGCTAATCACTTTAGCTCTTGATCGCGACCCATGTAAGTCATATCTGATGTTCCTGTCTCAAGAAATTGATATAAAACTGTGTCAAATATATACGAAAATAAATATATATACAATTTTGTATAAAAGTAGTAGGTTTAAACAGATCATATTCAGAAAATAAGCAACCAATCTGAAAACGATGATATCCCAGAGAAAGCTAATTGTAAAGTAGGTTTACTTTTATATTTGTTATTTCTATTTTCAATAGATTTCATTCATGATATTATTTTTACGTCCGTATTACTTGACCAGAAATTCCACCAATGGCAGTGCAGTAAAGTGGTCACGTGATACAGGCGGAGACACGTGACCAGTATACTGCTCTGCCATTGGTGATAGTTCTGGTCACGTGATTTAAGTTTAAGATTTTCAAAATTTTACATATATGAATTTTCGTATAATTTTAACACAGTTTTATATCAGTTTCTCGAGACAGGGACATCAGATAAAACTTTCATTAGTCGCGATCAAGAGCTAAAGTGATTAGCTTTCAGCCTATACCCCCTTTCATTTTTCCTTTACTGTCCCTTTAAGACAATCCCGTCGCGCAGTTTAGAAATGTATTTTATGCTAGTATTAAAATAAATGAAGTATATAAAGTAGATTACTACAGTGCACCAGAAAACTCTGAAATAGGAAGACGACTTATAAATTCAAGCTAAGACTTAAACTAGTTCAATGAACATTAGACATAGCAATTTTACATTGTACATAGACTCTTTCATTTTGTGCTTTTCTAAGTTACTAGTAAAATATTTACATTGTTTTCTCGTTATCACTGTATCAACCAACTTACCACACTCAATCAAAAAAGAGATAAAAAGATAAATCATAAATATACATATATACATACATATACATATATATACATATATATACATATATACATACATATATATATATATATACATATATACATACATATATATATTACATCTTGAAATAAATTATACTTGGCATTCCGGGCGGTTCGCGTTCATCTTCTATTTCAATTGTAAACATTTTCTCTCTGTTTACAATGTAAAACAAAAACAAAAGATGTTTGCGGATTTTATAAAAAAAAAATCGTGGACTTTTAAATCAAATGAAAATTGAATTTTGTCGGGAGCTTATTTTCGAAATTTTTATCGTCTATAAACCTATATCGGGTCATGTGAGGTCCCACACAAAATTTAGGCCCGATCGGTTTAGTTCAACCGTTTTAACGTTTATTAGATACAAACAGACAAACAAATACCCAGACAGACAGCAAAGTATATATACAATACTAGCTGAAGAGCCCGCGTTGCCCGTTGAAAAAAAAATTTTAAAATTAATATTTTTAAAAATTTTAAAATTAATATTTTTTTTAAAAATTGCCAAAAAAAATTTTCGATTTTTTTAGCCTTTAACAACCCACGACCACCCATGAGTGTCTACAAAAAATTTCAGCCCAATTGGTTTAGTCTTTAGGCCGGCTATAGGCAACATATATAACGAATGTCTTGTTTTACTATATAGATATATGGAAACCCTTCAAAACATGCACCTGACTTAACGGATAAATATAAAAAGGAATTCAAATTTTCCAATTTTTATATCTTTGCAACCTGATGGTGTAAACATTTGATATTTTAAACTTAGATCATTCAACCTAATGTCGAAATCAAGCATTGATTTCGACATTCAAAGTTCTGTATTAACAAAATATCCAGATAAAGCATTAATCTACGATTCAAAGTTCCTAGCTCTGTATTAACAAAATATCGAGATCAAGCATTGATCTCTACATCAACGATTCAAAGTTCCTAGCTCTGTATTAAAAATAAATCGAGATCAAGCATTGATCTTGACATTCACGATTCAAAGTTCCTAGCTCTGTATTAACAAAATATCGAGATCAAGCATTGATCTCGACATCCACGATTCAAAGTTCCCAACTCTGTATTAAAAATAAATCGAGATCAAGCTTTGATGAAGCATTGATCTCGACATTCAAGATTCAAAGTTTCCAGCTCTATTTACCTAAGACCGTATCCAGCTAGTAAAGGTGTGGCACGTGTCATCTTGTCCAACATACTGTTCAACTGTTCTCCGAAAAAATTTACAATTTTGCATACAATTTAAAGAGGTTGTTCACTAAATAATTAACATGTTTTTTTACAATTTAAGAGATTGTTGACAAAATGTGATTACAATTTAAGAGATTGTTCCCCAAATAATTTACATTTTTGAATACAATTCAAAGTGGTTGTTCACTAAAGGGGGTTCACCAAATAACTAACAATTTTGTTCACATTTCGGAGGTATGTTCCCCAAATAGTTTTCCTTTTTCATGTAGAAATAATCCGTTTATTTTCAATAAAAGATAAAAATTTACTGATTTAAGAATTTATTGTCTTGCTAATCAAAATTGTATTAATATTTATTATACCACATTCTTATCGGATTTAATCTTGCATAGCCAAATCAGCAATAATTCTTATATTGTCACCCATTTCGTGTAATAATGATGATTATTCCACGAAGTACAGGTGACAATAATAAGAATTAATTCTCACAATCATGAAACTAACAAATTGCTTATTTTTTAAAATAGTTTTTTTTAACCTGAACCCTTTAAAAATTCTCATTTCTTGTTCTTTCATCAGGGGCGTAGAAACGGAACGGGGGCAAAATATATATCAATATCAATATATCACACATATTTTAAGATTTTAGGTCTGTCAGAATGTTATGCCATGAAAAAAGTGCTTCACGAAAATGATTCAGCATGCAAGATTTGCCCGATATGGTTAACAATGTAATTCTGGGAATGTATTGAAATCCTCCAAGAATGTGGTATAATATACTAATTTCTCCGTCAATTTTAAGATACAAGAAAGATAGACCACTTTATAAAAAGCTCGTCAGCCGTACAGCTTCGTTTTTACATTCTTTGCCATGCATTTAATGCACTTCGATGTATGTAGTTACTGCAGAGTGCAGGGTGTACCACGAAACATGACAGTTGGTGAATAGTTTTTAATGTCTTCTTCCATGATACTGTATTTGTTATTTAAGACTTTTTGCAGTTTCTTTCGTTTCTTTGTCTGAAATCAATTTTACTATAATATTACTGCCATTTAGTATTTCTTCTCATTAATTTTGGTATCAAACAACTTAAAACCTATGGAAGAAGAATTTTTAAGCTATTAACCAATTGTCATGTTTCGTGGGACACCCTGTAGTTTTACGTGTGTTTATTTCCTTTGTAAACAAATTTTAGCCTTCTTAGAATGAAAAAATTTTTTCCGATAGCCCAAAAACGAAATAAAAAACTTCATAGTTCAATTTTTTTCTGATTTCGAGTCGTAAATTAATTTATGTTGAGGCTGAATATCATACTAAACTAAACTAGCTTTTCAAAGTTTTTGGAAGTTTTTCGTTTTCTAACTAATTTTTTAAGAAGGTTTTAATATTTTTTTTGTCTCTGTAGTCATTTTTTAATTTATCTTTTTGGCCTATCAGAAAAAGTTTTTCAATTTATAGAGGGCTAAAATGTGGCAATGGGCATATTCATTAGGTTTATTCAGGACCTCTAATGGGCGGTTAGCTGATTTCCAAAAAAAGTCCAAAATCGATGACCCCTAAACCCTACCTTGCAGGTAAGACATGAAGGTCTGGGTCTATACGGAGCCGTCATATTAAACCCATCAGATAGAATTAGAGCTAGCACACAGTACTGAGGTCTTACAACTAAACACATCATCATCAAATTACTACCTATATAGTTCATATACACATATATATATATATATGTTTAGAAGTAAATTTATTGCTTCTAGATATAATTACATGTTAAATAACGAGTGTGTAAAAGGAGAGGAAGTTGAGCAGGTCTTCTCCGGTTCCAGGGTCCGACACTACTGATTTGCGGATTTCCTAATCCTCTTTCGGGGATTTCATATCCTCTACAGAAGTCCCCCCTAAGTCTCGAGTACAGAGAGAGTCGAGACTGATNTTTAAGATTTATGATTAATGATTTAAGATTTATGATTAATGATTTAAGATTTATGATTAATGATTTAAGATTTATGATTAATGATTTAAGATTTATGATTAATGATTTAAGATTTATGATTAATGATTTAAGATTTATGATTAATGATTTAAGATTTATGATTAATGATTTAAGATTTATGATTAATGATTTAAGATTTATGATTAATGATTTAAGATTTATGATTAATGATTTAAGATTTATGATTAATGATTTAAGATTTATGATTAATGATTTAAGATTTATGATTAATGATTTAAGATTTATGATTAATGATTTAAGATTTATGATTAATGATTTAAGATTTATGATTAATGATTTAAGATTTATGATTAATGATTTAAGATTTATGATTAATGATTTAAGATTTATGATTAATGATTTAAGATTTATGATTAATGATTTAAGATTTATGATTAATGATTTAAGATTTATGATTAATGATTTAAGATTTATGATTAATGATTTAAGATTTATAATTAATGAATTTAAGATTTATGATTAATGATTTAAGATTTACGATTAATGATTTAAGATTTATGATTAATGATTTAAGATTTATGATTAATGATTTAAGATTTATAATTAATGAATTTAAGATTTTTGATTAATGATTTAAGATTTACGATTAATGAATTTAAGATTTACGATTAATGATTTTAAGATTTACGTTCGATTAATGATTCAAGACTTTTAAGGCAATACTATAACATCATCATCTAAAAACTTTTATGATTTTCGTTTTTCTTCATCAATATTTATTAAACCCAACATGAAACCAGTGGAATTGCGTAGATATGATGTAAGTATTGCGTAGATATGATGTAAGTATTAGTAATTGCGTAGATATGATGTAAGTATTAGTAATTTAAGGTACTGTACGTGCGTAATGTCAAAAGACCCACAAAATTGTTTAATTCTGTTAATTCCTGCATGTTTTCCTGCAGTAGAAATGTACTTGTTACCACTTTTGAAAATAATCCGTTTTCAAAATCAATCACATAGATATCAAATTAATACTTAATCAGACAAAGCTTAGATGAGACAGTTGTGAATCCGACATGAACTTCTTTGGATGAAAGGTCACTTGAAATTACGCTTACAGTCCCTTTAAGACCTTTACCTGGATCACAAGATGGATGAATTCTGATTTGTTTAACAGTTCTTTTCTCCTCCCAGTACCCACTCTCTACACCAATATCCTGGACACACCACTGTCTACTGTCTACTGTCTACTGTCTACTGTCTACTGTCTACTGTCTACTGTCTACTGTCTACTGTCTACTGTCTACAAATGCTTACTGATAGCGTTAACCTTATATTTTTCACAAATATCCTGTCATGTATATATACAGGGTTACCCACAAAGGATGAGGCTGTAAAGACGAACAAAACTCTAAAAAATAAAGATTCCAAGGTAAAATTAAATCTTTTTCCTTACAAACAGTTTGGCAAGGCATTTTCTAATGATTGGGCAAAGATTTTGGTTGCAGAGAATAATAAATATAAGAAATCGGGCGGTATGAATTCCGTACACTCGTCCCTGAAGTCTCATCCTTTTTGGGCAACCCTGAAGTAAGTAGAAATATCTGTTTGTCAGTCTGTCTGAGTGTACTTGTGAAACTCTTAATTCGGTTGCATTGTGGCTCAAATATGGCTTGGAGAGCACATTAGCACCACAAAAATGTTCTTTATAACTTGGTTAAACATTTTAAGTTAAGTTTATGACTTTTTAAACTGAAAGGTTAGTTTCCAGGTAAAGCTGAGTTCCCAAGCTAGATTTTCATATTTTAAGAACTTTCGTTGAAAGCATAAAATTCTATATTATCCTATTTTATTTCTAATGTAAGTATGTGAAGGTAATTTTATATATTTAATGTAAAGTAAAATAGATTATTATCCTATATCAATTATTTGACGGTATATATATATCTATTATTTCACACTTTGACCATAAAATTCAAAATTCACAACATCATTTGCAATTTATTTTTTTTAGAATTTAATCTAGTAAAAGATTCTTTAAACCATTAAAAACTTTAAATCCCAAGCTTTAAAAAGGCTTTGTTTACATCGTAAAACTAAAACAAAAAATAAGTTTGCGTATTGCGGATTTTCTTAAAAAATCAAATTTTGTTGGAGGCTGATATTTGAAATTTTGATCATACATAAACCTTCCCTGGGGCCATGTTAGGCGCCACACAAAATTTGGGCCGGTTAGGTTGAGAGCCGTTTTGACTTTTATTGGATACAAACAAACAAACACCCAGACAAGCAAAGTATATATGCATATAGAAGATAAAACCAATAGCCCAGGAAAACTGCAAATTAGGCCCGATCTCAATAGTATATGCACAATTTTGAAATTCATAGATCGCTAAGATGTCACCTGTTCATCCTGGCAGATCACATAGATCTTGGATATTCTTGAATTCAGGTCTTCAACACCGGTTTGGTCTGTTCCCCTGAAAAATAAGCACTTGCAATAAACTCCAGCTTTCTAATTTATATATGTAGGCAACCGCATGGTGAAAACCTTTGATTTAAAAAATGGCTATTAGATCTAGCAGAATCAATATTTTATAAATTTTAAAGGACATCAGATTGCAAAACTAAAAAGATTAGAATATTAGAGTTTGTGGCGAGTTCTCCATTCCTTTCCAGTTTTCAGAATTTACGTCTATATGTTGGAAACTAAAAAAGTTTTTTTTACCATATTCCGATAAAATATTATAGATTTAGTCTGCTATAAGGTAAAATAAGGCATTCAGGGTTTGAGAACTCAGACAGTAGGTATAAAATCACAAGCTTTTAGCCAAAGAGAATAGAAAATATATCAGAGTGGATTTTAATAAAATCTCTCGGTATGAATTTTGTCAGTCCCTTCCAGCCTGAAAGGGAGTTCAAAGTGTACAAATCATGTAAATGTTCACAAATTATATGCAGTAGAGAACATTAATATGCATTATGTTCCCTAGACTATCCATTTCAATTTCGAATTTTTTAAAGCTGTTAAATAAACTTTATAAAATGAATTAGGTGAATAAAAACATCATTTGAATTATAGTTATAACGGAAAATCATTGTTTGTAAAGTGAAATGATCATTGGTCAATAATGAAACCAGCCTATTTCATTATTTGGTTTTCTTTTAATATTAATTTTAGATTTTCTATCAAATGATGTTCCAGGGCCCAAAATGTGAAGTACACCTGTAGTATGGAAACAGTACAACAAAATGGCCGTTTTACACTTTTTTTCTAGTAAATTCCACTCTAATATATATTCTATTCTCTTTGCTTTAGCCTTAAATGAGGGGCATGTTTTTGTTAGAAAAGTGAGAAAAAATATTATATAGATTAAATACTTTTCGAGTTCTAGCAAACAAAACTATATTGATCAGTCGGAATCAAAAAAGTGTTTTTTAAAGTAGCTTATGATTATTATGTGGGTCACAAAAACGTAGAAAAACCCTGATTTTTTTCGACGAAAAAAATTTGTTTTTTATATTTTCAAATATTGGATGAGAATTGATAGCTTGCCAATTCTGTAGCCAGAAGATGAAACAAAGCTATTTATTTTAAGCCGAGTTTTCATGCAAGATTTGAACTGAAAGAACCTGTACTTAAATATGATAAGTTCTCATAATATCTCTATTCACAGTTCTTGGCTTTAGACGCATTTTCATTTTCATGAAAAATAAAACAAAATATATCTACAAATTATTTATCAGATTTGCGTAAAGATTAATATTATATTGAAAATTTAAACAATTACATGTGTCTATTGTAATATTTAAAATATGTTTTTAAGTGTTTTCTAGAAAGAAAAAAACCTTGTTGTAAAACACATCAATCTTGTCAGAACAGAAGGGAAAGGACCAATTTATGGGAAACTACTAGTGACACTTTGTAATTATGGTTCATTAGTTATATACTAGAAATCAAAACTTATTTTTCATCTCAATTTACTAATACTTGTAAATAAGAGAGGGGGTGGGGGTAAAATCAGGTGGATGGGGGGAGTGTAAAATTAGCTGAAAGGGTGATGAAGGGGAGTGTAAAATAAACGTTTTTGATAAATATATATAGGGATAACGCGGGCCAAACAATTTCGTTTTGAAACAAAAAACATTATAATTTAAAATAATCATTTTGACCTAAGACTGGGGGACCTGTCGAAATTACTTATTTCTCCCCATTGGTATCTATATCAATTGGTGCTTGCTTCTGGTTTGTTTAAGAAACAACAGTTCATACAGTGATAACCATAAAACTGTAGAATAGGAAGACGATATTTAAGCAATACTGAAGTGCATTTGATGTTGTTTAGTAAGTTATTAAATCACTGACTAAGTGAAATGGGTCTTTTTACACTACACATTATGACTTATGTTCATTGGACTATTCAAAGTCAAATCTTGAGTTTAAAAGTTGCCTTCCTCTTCCAGAGTTTTCAGGTTTCATTTAAACAAACTTTTCTAAGATAAAATACAAAATATCTATTAATTTATTAATATCTTACTTGATATCCGTGATCCAATGGAAACATTTTGTAACAATAACAACAATACTTGGGGATACAGCATACCCAGTACACACATAGCTCTCATCATAAACTACACTCACCTAAAGGGACTGTACACTTAATTTAAGTTGGAATAGTATATACGCTACAATACTCAAAATATTGTCTTTTTTCTATTTGAAAATTCTGAAATTCATGCTCAGACAAAAGTGTCATCGTGAATATGGTCTGTGGCTCTTAAAAGGGAGAGACCGGCTAGGTAACAGATTTGAACCGAGAGTGCAGTATTAGAGAGAAAAATGTTAGGATTCATTTGATTCAATGAGACGATTAAACGGTGTATAATTTCAAAGTAAGAGTGTACATTTATTTGTAAAATTTCACTAAAAGGGATCGGTCCGCAGAAAAAACTTTTTTTAAAACAATTATTTAACAACTCGGACGAAAAATGTAACAAAAATTCTACTGTTAACTAAATTGTTGTTTAGGAACAGAGTCTAAAACTAAAGAATGCGCGAATTTTAAGTTCGAGGTTAAAAGTTCTGCAAAATAATGAGTAGCTACTTAAATATTTAACTTTCTCAATTTTAAATTTGAATTTCCCGGGAAAAATTTCACCCAATCAGAGAAAAGGATTTATATGGAGAATATTACGTAACCATCGCTAATCAGCTGTTTTAGTTAACTTTTTAATATTTACGTAACCGAAAACAAAAAATATTTCCAGTTACAACCGTCTTTTGGGTTTACGTACAAACATTAATTAATTTAAAACGTGAAATTTATTAAATCAAGGGTTTTAATTTTAAATATATCGTAATTAGATGAATGCGCGCCGCTTATCGCTGAATGATGATAGACAAATAGGGATTGCGGGATTTCAAGATTTTAACCATGTGTTTAATTTTAACTCGTCGATTTCGGCGAGTTAAATATTTAACCACAGGTTTAAATATTTAACCTCACGGTTAAAGTTCGGGTTTAAATTAAGTCAGAAGTGGCATTTAACCATGAACTTAAAATTTAAGTCAAAACTTTTCTCGTTCTTTAGTTTTAGACTCAGGTCGATAAAATAAAATTAACTGTTCTTGTCTAAAATAAGTGATCTTATTTAGTTTAATAATTCCCTTCATGATTAATTGTTTACAAACATTTTACATAGATTTTCGTGAATTTTCGTTGAATATAGATGACATCTGAAGAATTCAAAGAAATCTTCGAACACAATTATAAAGAATAGAAAATTTAATATAATGATGATAATGAAATAATGAATTCTACTATTAATTTTTTCACAAATTTCTATTGAGAATTATGTTCTTAGTCGGTCTCTCCCTTTAAATTAAAGAAGGGTCTAATTAGTAATTTAGTCGATATTCCCTTAGATTAAGTATTAGAATAAAAAATTGGCCTTTAATATTGGAAATTTTTGTAATTTCCTAAGAAAAAAATGTTCTGCATTTATTTTCTAAACATTAAAATTTAAATTTTAAAGAATCTTTCAACGACGAAGAAAAAACTGAACTTTTTTTCTCAAAGTCTTAATTTCTAATCCACATTTTTAATACGATGACGTACAGGGTGTCCAACGAAACATGATATTAACAAGACGACTTGAAGGTCGTCTTTGATTTTTGATACAATTTTCTAATTTTTTTGTCAACCTAATTTCAGAAGTATTATTCTAGGGATAATAATCAAAAAATACGCCTACTTCTGGCATTTCAAAAATGACATGTTTCTTGGGACACCCTGTAGATCTTAGAATTTTCAAATTATGAATTCTGCAAGATCAAATAGTTATTGGACCGAAAGTTGCAAAGATATAAGGATTAGAAAACTAAAGTTTCAGGCAAATGTTCAGTTCCTGTAAAAATAATAATGATGCAGGAGGGTGGAAAAATATGTGTTAACTTAGATTCTGATTAAGCTAGACCGCTTAAACTATTTTTAATGGTAACTATTCGGTAATCAAACCTATTGTTGGTTTTGACTTACCAGCCAAGGCCAAATAGATTTGAAAGGGCTGTTTGGCCCTTTACTAGCTGCAGTGTCTTGTTTTACACTCATTTTTCCGGTTTTCTTAACTTTTTCATTTTTTGACTTTGAATTCACTTTTTTCTTTTTCCGCGAAGATTTTCCTTTTTTTCCATTTTTTCTCTTCGGGTTTCTCTGGTCTTTGTTAACTTTTGCGTATTTTTGCGGGGTTTTCTTTTTTATCTGCTTTCTTTTTCCCAGTTTTAAAGTTTCATTTTTTATTTTTCTGTTTGGCCTGATTGTTTTGTTGTGAGAGAAGGAAGGATTTGCTTCTCTCCTTCCTATTCCTGCAAGCAGAGAAGTATAGAGACGGGCATCGTGTTCTCCTCTCTTTTCAAAAAGTATTTTTTTGGTTGCTTTTTAAACATTTTAAAAGACCATCGTTTAATTTTCAGTAAAATCCACAAAATCAATTTTCAAAGAGAAAACTGCTACTGTACTGTATTATGTCTATTTAAGACTTTTTACTTTAAAATTGTATAGATATTAGATACTCTCAGAGTTTACTTTTAATAATTTGTGCAAAATTAAACTATGAAATAAGATAAAGGTCTGAAATAAGATAAAGGGCTGAAATAAGATAAAGGGCTGACATAAGATAAAGGGCTGAAATAAGATAAAGGGCTGACATAAGATACAAAGTGATAAATGAATGTTAAATGTTTAATTGTTTATTAACTCGTTTCCATTAAACGTTTACTTGCAGAAAAAATATAAATATTTAATGAACAACCAAAAAAATATGCCCTTCTGTAGAGAGTAGGGTAATTACTATATAATGTATATATAGAACAAACCATACCAAACCACTCTATTCTACTAATCAAGTATTGTCAATATAGATTATATATAAACCCAGGGATACAGGCCGATATACAGGGTTACCCACAAAGGATAAGACTTAAGATTTTAAAAACGTGTCAAAAATTGCTGTAGAAAATGAAATTACTGCTTGTTCGAAAAATGTCCTTAAGTGCAATAATAAGTGCAATTACTTAAATAAAAACTGTTCTGAACAGCTCTGGGAAAGAGAATGTTCTAAATCTAAATTGTGAAAAACTCATATTTTTTTAATCCCTTTATCTCTTCAACTTGATTTTGTAGACCTTTGATATTTCAAACTATAATTTCTGTCAGATTAAATAATCTAAGTTTGAAAAATCATAGGTTTACACTTTTAAGCTGCAAAGATATAGGAATTAGAAAATTTTAAATTGTAACAAAAACTCAATTTACAAATTACTCGTATTCCTAGCTTAAAGGAAACATCCTTATTGCTCATGCGTAATGTAAACACAACTGTTTTGATTGCGATCAATCTAAGAGGAGCCAGATTTACAATTCTACTCTTTAAACCTTTATCTGATTAATAACGTGGAAGATATCGTCGTTTTTCTAGTTTAATATTGTTTTGTTCTGAACAATTTCCTTAATAGTTTCTTCAGCAGAACTAAACAAGGCACTTTATAGAAAATCCACAATGAAAATAATCAATGTTTAAATTTAAACTCATGAATATTACTTGCATTCTTTTGAAACTATGTCTACAGTCTCTGTAAATAAAGGTGAAACTATGGGACACTTCTTTAAAAAAAAGCTCAAATTATTCTTGCACCAATTTCTAAAGTTATCTTTGATATATATTTTCTTTCTTTTTTTATAATTTTTAAATTCATTAGTTTTTTTGTGTAGAAAAATCACTGATCTAAAGGGAAAAAGTTCAAAATGGGTAATCTAAAAATATCCTAAATTAATTCTAAACGTGAAAATCGTATAAATTATAAAAAATGAAAGAAAAAAACGCGAGGTTGAAAGATATTTTTCAAATGAAATAGTTTCACTATAAAGAAGTTTTCAGTCTTGTTATCATTATTCAGGGGCGGATACATGGGGGGGCAGGACCTTTGCACCCCCCCGTGAGATTTCAGAATAGTTTATCAAGCAATATCTTCGTTTGCGGCGCGTCTCTTGGTTCCTAATTCTGGATTTTTTTGGTTCCGAAATAAATCTAGCACCCCCCCCTTACTTAAATCCTGTATCCGCCCCAGTTATTATTAAATACAAAATGTTTAACCTGATTTTTCAAGAGGATCTTTTACAGGTCTGTTAGTGTTTCTTAACCCACATACTAAAATAATTAAAATCTAATTGTTTTACATATACAATAGTTTATAGGTATATAGGTATAGGTATCCTGAGATCAAGCAGTAGTCCGTATATTATGCTATCCTATATACTATCCTATTGTCCGTATATTATGCTATGTCCTAAATGCTTGAGACAAATATATATATAAATATATATGATTTGATTTGAAATTAATTTCTTCATGGATCAGTGGTGGTCCCAACCCACAGAGATCCAGACAGCTAGAAAATACATTCAATAATATTCATTCATACTGGATTGCAAAGATATAGAGGTTGGAAAATCAGAGCTTGTGGCAAAGAGTGAAAACCAATTTCTTTTAAAGATGGGTACGAAGCGCTCTAAAGGTTAAGTAAATAATAGTTAAAGAGTAAAGACCTTAATCAAAGAAATTCTAAAAATATCCAATTTCTTAGAACATAAAATAAAAGAGAAAAGGAAAAAGAAAATGAAAAGAAAATGGAGACAATTTCTCAAAACCCCGCAGGATTAATCTGGGAGCATCACGAACAAATTTGTCTCAAGAAATTGATAACATGAAAGTGTTAAAATCTATTTTTTATACATAAGGTATATAAATAAACCATTTTTTTCTTCAAAGCAGCTTTTAATACGTGTAAACATTTTTTACTCGTAAATTTTGTTGCTTTTCATAAATATTTTATCTTAAAATTTATATATTTTAGAGATTAAAATAAAGTTTTTCAATATTTTTGCTAGATTCTAATATATTTAAATACATTTACCTATCCAAGACAGTTGGAAAAATGGATAATTCTAAGTAGATTACGTAGATTACGTGATATATATAAAAAACTTACAACATTTTTTCCCGTAGAACTTCTGATCATACGAGGCAGTTCCTACAATATAAATATATTTAATAGAAGAAAATATGTAGTTGAAAGATAATTCATAATTTTCTTGATATTTTGATGTTAGAAAACGAAATGTAAGATGTTTGTACAACGTACAATGTTGTACAATTTTGTACAATGTTGTACAATTCTGTACAATGTTGTACAATTTTGTAAAATTTTTACAATATCGTATTATATCGTAACAATTTTTTACAATATTGTATATTTTTTTTTCATCGTTTTCAATGTTTTAAAGTGCAGTTGTACAATGTTAAGCTGATCAATCCTGTACAATCCTATACAATTTTGTATATTTCTTTCACTATTTTTACAATTTTGTACGATGTAGTGTATTTTTAACAGTGTTGTGTAATGTTGTATTAGGTTGTATCTTTTACGTATTTTAGCATTGTTTTATAATGTGTACCCTGTACAACGAACCCTGCAGGCTGCAGTACAGTTTTTATGAGAATATTTAGAATTCTAAATTTTTCAAATAATTTTTCATTCTTACTTCTATATCCTATGCTTCTAGCCTGGAAAGCAAGTTTGGAATTGCTTTTTCCAATCTGGTCCTGGAGCCAAAGTTAATATATATCTTTTATCATATTTCAAAACTTTTATCATTTTTAGAGATCACAACTTCTATCGGCATAGTGTCACCAGGGAGGGAAAGTTAAAAGTGTTTTTCAAAGGGATCGTTCAGAAATTTTAGCAAATTGGTCGGTACCAAAATTGGTAACATTATTTTGATCTAATCACCAACTTCGCATCTTAACTTACTGTCCAAATTAGTTGTGCTATTTTTGTCTAATATAAGGCTGAAGAAATCTCTATATCTTTACAACCCAATGTCGTACACGTTAAGTATTTCAGATCACAAAATCAATGCTTGAAGTATTGAAGGTGAACGCCATAAGGTTGCAAAGATATAAGGATTAGAAAATTTGAGTTTACAACTAATTTTCTTTGTATTATAACTTTTACTAAATTGTGTCAAGCCGAAACATAGAGTTGTAAAAATTTGTGATCAGATTTTTTACTGAATTGTAAAGCCAAAGTTTAATGTCTTCATTAAAGATTATTATGCCCCTCTCCTTGTGAAGCGTATTGTTAAAAATGATCAACCAACGGGCTCTACCAAGATCAAAAACAGTATTCTCAAACTTAGGCGCAGTTTGCCCACAATACCTGAAAAAAAAGAATTTTTAAAAAAGACTCTGAACGTAGTTTCAAGTAATTCTCCAATTTAAAGAGTTTAACATGCATGATTTACAACCAAGGTTGCGCTCCAATGTACGGAAAATGTCATCTCCTTGGATAGATAAATACAAACCTCATATGACGTCACTCTCACCTCTATTATCATTTATCAGTGACGTCATATGAGATTTTTATCTATCTATCTTAGGAGACGACATTTTCCGGCCATTATAGAGCATCGAGAGTAACGAACCTTAACATACAACCTAGTTTACAACGGTACTCTGTAAAACGCAAAAAGAGAAGCAATGGGGAACATATTGTAGTTTTTCTGGAAAAATGTTTTCTTCTGACAATTTCTATTTTTTCTCTACTATCCCGCGTGCAAAAATTACAACAAAAAGATGTGTAAATATCAATTATTAAAACAGCCATCACTTTCAATCGTATAGAGCTGCATACATTAATTCTATATAGTAACCACAGAAGGAAATTAACAAATTACCAAGGATGTATTCAGAATAAGGTTAAAAGGGTACCATTGTGAATCGCACATGCACATTGCACATGAATTAATGAAGATCAGGGAATAGGAATAAAGAAAAGGAAATGGCGCTGGTCTGGCATGAGAAAGCCAGTCGCACTGCTTTGCTGACAAGTTCGGTAAACCTTACACACACTCTTTTGATACAGACACACAACATGACTACAGTCAAAGAAATTGCAGAACAATGTTGTCAGTTATAATTAAGCTTGAATAACGAGTAGCTTATTGTAAACTTTAATCGAATTATATTCTTTGCATGAAAATTTGGCTTACAGTGTTGACTTAAATATGTAAATAATATATTACATGTATATTAAACTTATTTTTAAGTAAACAATTAACAACAAACAAATGTACTCTCCTAGACTGTACAAATACCGAGATTCTTACGTACTGTATATACCTACAGTACAGTACACACCTTCGGTTCGGTAAACTTTACACGCACTCTTTTGGTACAGACACACACACATGACGTTTCCGCTCCCTGGTGAAGATTCACTCAAAATTACAAGTGTATGTAATTTATACTAACACCAATTTCCAGTTTGATGGCTTGCCATTTTAGTTATGTCAATTATAAATCCGTGTGGAACCCTTTTTAAGCCTTGTTGTGTATATGCATGAAGAGCTGGGGAAGGCAGACGGCCAAAAGCCACCGGCCACTATTTCCCCTTCCGTTCCACATATTAGCTTTTTTCTCTTCCGGCAGCCATGAGCCACCACTATTTCCCCTTCCGTACCACCACATTTGACTCTTCCGGGCAAAACTACTTTTTTAAATGGTATATTTAGGGCCTTTAAAGTCTGATTTTAAAAAATCCAGCCGCGTCCTCAAAAAAGCACAACTCAAACCATTTTTCAATTCTACTTAAGATTAATATTTGTGTGTTTAATTCTTAAACTGTTTTACAATGAAATTTTTGACAAATTTGACTGAGTATTGCATCTTGAAATATCACAAAGTCTAATGATTATTCAATTACTGACTCATTATACTAAAGCCATCTTAAAATCACTCATTAACCAACTTTGTGATACTTCAAGGTGCAATACTCAGTCAAATTTGTCAAAAATTTCATTGTAAAACAGTTTAAAAATTAAACACACAAATATTAATTGTCAAAAATTTCATTGTAAAACAGTTTAAGAATTCAACACACATGATATTAATCATAAGTAGAGTTGAAAAAATGGTTTGAGTTGTGCTTTTTTGAGTGACGCGGCTGGATTTTTTAAAATCAGACTTTAAAGGCCCTAAATATACCATTTAAAAAAGTAGTTTTGCCCGGAAGGGGAAATAGTGGTGGCTCATGGCCGCCTGCCTTCCCCCGCTCGCATGAATAGACAGAACTAAATTGACAAACTGACAAACCTGATATTGCTCTAAGTGCACAGTGAGCTAATGTATAAATTGTAAGAATGGGATATTGCTCTAAGTGCACAGTGAGCTAATGTATAAATTGTAAGAATGGGATATTGCTCTAAGTGCACAGTGAGCTAATGTATAAAATGTAAGAATGGGATATTGCTCTAAGTGCACAGTGAGCTAATGTATAAATTGTAAGAATGGGATATTTCAATGCTACACACAAGGATTATTTTTAGCAAGTTAAACCCCCTTATTTCGGTATTTTAATTGCTTTAGGGGACGGATAACCATTTTTGTAAATTAAATAAAAATCCCACCAATATATTTTAGATTGAGCCAGAGATGACTGTTTTGTCAAAATAAAACTTTGTAGAAATAGAACATCAAGATTTTCATTGCATTTAAAACGTATAAAGTTTTCCCTTTTTCCTCAAAATTTTGCGGTTTTTCTTAAATAATTTTAAAAAGTTTACGCTTCAAGTTTCTTTGCATATCCTGTCTGTGATATTAGAAGATGTGGACCCTGCTTGCAGCAATCTCCCTGTTAAATCAAATATTTATTAAAGGGACTGTTTAGTTATTTTACTAATGTTTTAGGTACCAAGTTTTAGTGATGGGCTTTTACTTGGTGCGTTTTAAATCTTTTTGGAGGTTTTTGCATTCTCAAAAGTTACTGTAAAGTTAAAAATCTGAATAGTTTACAAATTCTGCACTCAAAATTTCGAAATAAAAATAGTTTTTTCGGCGACAAAAGTCGGATGGCTGCCAAATAAGCGACAAATCTGTCCACCTATCTTTTACCTCCAAATTTTGAATTCAAAACTTAGAGTGTAAAAATTTTTATTTTTCAACATTCGTCATTGGGTTGCAAAGAGAAATCGAATAAAAAATTGAAGAAACAGAGCAAACTGAGACTGTTGAAATTTTCTTAATTTTCCTACATATCCATTTTTTTCCACAAATAAATTTGCATTTCTTAATTTACATCAGGTTATTTAAAATTTTGCATTTTTTTGCATATTGAAATGGCATGGTAAAGGGCTTTTTCAAAAATGTATATCTGATCACTTTTTGCACATTTTTTCTTTTGCAAACATTTTTACTAGGAAAAAATAGATTTTGCAAAATTTTTTTAACTTTTGCAAATTTCCAATTTTTTGCAGATTCGGAAAGTAGAGCATAAGAGCTTTTCAATAATGTATCATTTATAATTTTTGGAAATCAAACATGGTATTTAGAGGGTGGGGGTGGTGTCAAATTGACCCCCCCCCCCAGCGTATTCTGGTTTTCAAGTACCCAGCAGGGATAGGGTTAAAAAACAAACAAAGCACTGACCACAAACTCTAAATTTAAAATTCTTATAACTTTGCAACGTAATCATTAATATTTCTAATTTTAACAACTAAAACTATAGCAGAGTTTAAAGTTTAAAATGTTAAAGGGTTACGATATCAGATTAAAAATTATCGTTTGTGTTAAGTAATTATAATTCCGTACGGATTTGTAATTCTATTTATTTATTATGCTTTTATTTTGGAATAAAATCCTACCTTTGTAGACCCATCAGGGCATGAGGGTAAATCCCAGTCTTTGAATACAATTTGTCGTCTCCAGTGTTCATACGCCTTATATTAGAAAATATGCCAGAAACAGCTATAATTGGTTAAACTTACATAGAAATGCCAGAAACAGCTGTAATTGGTGAAACTTACATAAATATGCCAGAAACAGCTGAGATTGCTTAAACTTACAAAAATATGCCAAAAACAGCTGTAATTGGCGGAACTTACATAAATATGCCAGACACAGCTAAACTTTCATAGAAATGCCAGAAACAGCGCTGTGATTGGCTAAACTTCATAAATATGCTAGAAACAGCAGTAATTGGTGGAACTTACATAAATATGCCAGACACAGATATAATTAGTTTAAAAATTACATAGAAATGCCAGAAACAGCTGTCATTGGTTTGAATGAAATGAATACATAAATATGTGAGAAACGGCTGAGATTAGGTAAACTTACATAAATATGCCAGAAAAAGCTGAGATTAGGTAAACTTATATAAATATGCCAGAAACAGCTGATATTAAGTAAACTTACATAAATATGCCAGAAACAGCTGAGATTAGGTAAACTTAAATAAATATGCCAGAAATAGCTAAGATTAGGTAAACTTACATAAATATGCGAGAAACAGCTGTGATTAGGTAAACTTACATAAATATGCCAGAAACAGCTGTGATTGGTAGGAAAAACAGAATACTCTGGAGCCTCTTCTCCGCAGTTGTAATCTGTTTCATCTTGCTCAATCTATTTTTGAAAAAAAAATTTCAGTTAAATGGGTTATAGATCTTATTTAACTGATTACATGTTTTATTGAAACCAACAAATTATCTAACCTATCGAACCTGTCGAACCTATCGAACCTATTGAACCTATTGAACCTATCGAACATATTGAACCTACCTAACATATCTAACCTATCTAACCTATCTAACCTTTCGATCCTATCGAACCTATGGAACCTATCGAACCTATCGAACCTATCAAACCTATCGAACCTATCGAACCTATGGAACCTATCGAACCTATGGAACCTATCAACCCTATCGAACCTATGGAACCTATCGAACCTATCTAACCTATGGAACCTATCGAACCTATCGAACCTATGGAACCTATGGAACCTATCGAACCTATCGAACCTATCTAACCTTTCGAACCTATCGAACCTATGGAACCTATCGAACCAATCAAACCTATCAAACCTATCGAACCTATCGAACCTATCAAAACTATCGAACCTATCGAACATATCGAACCTATCGAACCTATTGAACCTATCGAACCTATCGAACCTATCGAACCTATCGAAAGCTCCGTTATTATTGGCTAACGCCAATGTATTCTCATTCCTGTATAAAAACCAATTTTAATTGAATCTTGCAAATCTAAAATTTATTTACGTAGGTCCATATTAACATCAGCTTTTTACATTGAATGTCACCAAAAGATATACATTAACTGGATTTATTGCTGCTCAAAGCGATAAAATATTGACTGCATTTTATGAGGAAACAAAAATGCACGTTTTTTAGGACTGTAAATGTATTGGTGTTCAGCTGTAATTCGGAGGAAAACTTTAACAATAATATCTCTTGCCAAAAATCCTAAACAAATTTTCTTTCTTTTCTAGATTTTTTCCATTGATTTCTGTATCAGTAAAGAAGAATTGAGTCTTTGCCACAAATTGAAATTTTGAATCTATATATTCTATATTTTATCTTACCTCCGCCCCACAATTGAAAAATGTTTGTTTCTCCCCAGCATCATCACTAGTGTTCTGGGACAGCTCAACACTAATCATATCTCATTTGAAGGAAATTAAAGGGAGTGTTCGCGAAAAATCAAAGGATTTAGCACAAATTTTCTTCATATTTTATCAGAAAAAAGGAATTAAGTCTTTTCCACAAATTGAAATTTTCTAATCTATTTATCTGTGCAGCCCAATGTCGAAGAATTTTGTTATTTAAACCATGAATTCTTTAAGATCAAACTAGGTGAAGTACCCGGCGTGGGATTTCAAAAATATAGATAACAAAGATAATAGAGCGATGATCTTTATTATATATATAATCTAAGTTTGAAATATCAAAAGTTTACACCTTCAGGTTGCAAAAATGTGGGATTAGAAAATTAGAGTTTGAGACAAAACTCAGTTCATTTATGTCAAATGTCTTTTAAAAAATATTCAGATATTTGATAATTTTTGCTTCTATGGAAAATAATATGATAATGCCTCTACAAGTACCCCTTTTTAATTTTGTTTAAGAACGCCGAAAACAATGTTTAAAAGTATAAAATGTATTTGTAACACTCTCATCTAAATCATACTATTTCTTCGGCCAGAGTACTGCAAATATAATGCGGTACACGCCAAAAGCTGATAAGTTTGTGAAATAATTTGTTATAAAAAAATGTCAAGTTTTTAATTACCTGAACTGTTTGAAGTTGACCTGCTTAGCTGCCAGCTGGTTAGTGCAGTTCAAGGATCCAGGTATAAATATAAAAGTCAGATTAGGTCCATAACTTAAATATTTCTCCGCCCAGGAATTGTACAAACTTAGGTTGGAAGTACAAAATCTGAAAAAAAAATAATTAAATAAATCTTTTAAAAGTTTATGCTAAAATTATTCAAAATTGAAAGAAAAAATCTTGGAAAAATCGAATAGATAAATCGAATAGATAAATCGAATAGATAAATCGAATAGATAAATCGAATAGATAAATCGAATAGATAAATCGAATAGATAAATCCGCCACAATTTGAAAATGTTTAAAACTGAAACCTCGACTTTCAGAGCAACATTTAAAAGCTAAAATTATTTACAGAAATCGGTTGCGAAGAGCCCACAAAGTTTATTAATTATACAGGGTGTCTCTGAAAAAAAGCGTGTTCATGCTTTTCAGCCTAATAACCATTGTTGTATTGTATTAAAAAGTGCTCCTATAGTAGGTATAAATAGTAGGTATTATACCTAACTTTGAAGGTTAAAATGACATTTTAGAGAAACATGTTTCATTGACCACCGCCCCCCCCCCCCATTTACGGGGATTGTACCGTACCTACTAAACTTGTTTTCTCTAACAAAAAAATGTTTAGTATGTTAAAAAGCATAACTTTTTTCCAGGGACACCTTGTATATATACTTTGCTTGGGTTAATGTTAGTTTGTATCCGTTAAACGTTGAAACGGCTGAATTGATCGGGCCCAAACTTTGTATGGCAACCAACATGACCCCAGGGAACAATTGGAAGCTAGAATTGTTAATAGGAAAGGGGGTGCCGCGAGTAGCGCCTTATAGGCATGGTAAACGTATGAACAGTCAATTTTCATGCTGTAATATTATAGGATTAGTAAGGTAAGTTTCAAACATTTTACAAATTGAAGAATGGGAAAGCTTTTGAAGAAAGGAACTGATTTCTCGCATTAAACTATCGTTTTAATATCCATATATCTTTTAAACCTGATAATTTTAACCATTTGTGTTTTAAAATTTTGACTTTACTGTTCTAACAGAATTTATAGAAAAATTATATATTATATAAATACAGACCTCACTGAAGATTGGTCCATGACAATTTGTCCATGAAACATTGTGTATGAAGATGTATCTGTTGTTTTGATTGAATAATAAATTGAGTATTGTATTATATTATATTTTATATATTATTTATTTCTGTAATACTAATTTTTCTAAATTTATAAACTTAATTCCTAAGCTTAACAAAGTTTAAATAATATTCCCAAGGAAGCATTAAATTTAAAAGTAGAGAAAGAAAAAAATTCAAAGATTTGTAGAAAAATTCAATGACCCCAAAAAAAATCCGCGAACATTTTTTTCTCTTAAATCAAAAAATCAGAAAAACAAAAATGTGCAAATAAATTTTTTCTATCGAAAACTACAATTTTAACAAGATTGAATCACAGAATCTCAGAAAATTTGCAAAATAGTAATTAGTTCTAGCCTAATTTTTACGAAAAAATTGTTTTTCACTGGTTCTTAAGGTTTCAACTAAACAGCGTATATTTAATACTTTAGAATATACTAAGAAGAAAGGAATTTAAATAACTTTTCCTTAAAGATTAGACCAGAACTAAAAATTGCGAATTTTCTCATTACAATATTGCAAATCTTCTGTTATTCTTTGATTCAATTTTTAAAAACTTGTAGATTTCGATAGACATAATTTATTTCCACATTTTTGCTTTTCTGAACTTTTGATTTTGAGAGAAAAAAAGTTCGCGGACTTTCTTTTGGACCATTGGAGTACCAAAAAAAATTACAAATTTTCAAAAAATATTGAAAAAACACCATACAGGAGAGTTGCTCAAAAAAGGTACAATCTTGCACCAGGCGCCGCAAATCACACTTTTTTTAAACTCACCCTGTAGTTACTTACATAGGTAGATAGATAGAGATATAGTTACTTACATAGGTAGATACATAGATAGTTACTTACATAGGTAGATGATAGATAGTTACTTACAAAGGTAGATAGATAGATAGTTACTTACATAGGTAGATAGATAGATAGTTACTTACATAGGTAGATAGATAGTTGGAGGAGGGGCATACCAGGGGTCATAGATAATCAAGGTGTCTTCACAGTTACCACATCTATACTCTCTTACAGTCCACTGTACAGTACATAAATAGATAAATAAATAGATAGATAGACAGATAGATAGATAGATTGATAGATATATAGATATATATATAGATATATAGATAGATAGATAGATAGATAGATAGATAGATAGATAGATAGATAGATAGATAGATAGATAGATAGATAGATATATATATAGATAGATAGATAGATAGATAGATAGATAGATAGATAGATAGATAGATAGATAGATAGATAGATAGATAGATCGATAGATAGATAGATAGATAGATAGATAGATAGATAGATAGATAGATAGATGTGTAACAAATGCCTTACTCCGTAAAGTTCTCTTAAGTCAGCGTCAATCCAGGTATAACCTTCTGTATTCGTCAAGCAAGTATCAATCCAGATACAACACTCTCTGTATTCTCAAGTTGGTATCAATCCTGATACAACTCTCTTTATGCTTAAGTAAGTATCAATCCAGATACAACACTCTCTGTATTCTCCAGTTAGTATCAATCCTGATACAACTCTCTTTATGATAAAGTAAGTATCAATGCAGATACAACACACTCTGTATTCTCAAGTTGGTATCAATCCTGATACAACTCTCTTAATGCTCAAGTAAGTGTCAATCCAGATACAACACACTCTGTATTCTCAAGTTGGTATCAATCCTAGTACAACTCTCTTTTATGCAGTTCAAGTAAGTATCAACCCAGATACAACACTCTCTGTATTCTCAAGTTGGTATCAATCTTGATACAACTCTCTTTATGTTCAAGTAAGTATCAATCCAGATACAACACTCTCTGTATTCTCAAGTTGGTATCAATCCTTATACAACTCTCTTTATGTTTAAGTAAGTATCAATCCAGATACAGCACTCTCTGTATTCTCAAGTAAGTATCAATCTAGACACAACACTCTCTGTACTTCTTAATATTTATCGCACAGATACAGCTCGAGCTTACTATTTGCTTCTCTACACGAGAATTAATACGTTTCTAACGTAATAAAGCAAACTCACTATATTTTGAATTTTATGGTACATGTTAAATTAATGAACGTAATTAAACTAAATCGTAGTACACGTTGAGTACACGTTATAATGATAAGAACCAATAGGTTTTCTCAGAAATTAACGAACGTTCAGGTTTACAAATATGCGGTTAGTACTATAATTATTACAGATAGATAGATAAATATATAGTTCGATAGATAGAAAGAAAGACAGATAGATATATGGATGGATAGATAAATAGATAGTTTAAATTGCACCCCGCGACCTGTGGTTTTCCCGACGCTCTAGCATCCACGTACGTGTGGCGAGCCGACTGGCAAGTACATTTTGGGATAGATAGATAGATATATAGATAAATAGATAGATCGATCGATAGATAGATAGATAGGTAGATAGGTAGATAGATAGATAGATAGATAGATAGTTAGATAGATAGATAGACAAATAGATAGATAGATATATGATTTCCACTTACATCTACATCTTCTGGGTAGAGATATCCGAAGGGTCCAGAGGTTCTCTCCTCTACAGGAGGTTCAGTGGCTGAAACTTGTCTGTTCCTTTGCTGCTTTCTTTTTTTAATCCTCTTTTTCCCCTTCTTCTTCGTAATCTTTCTGGTTTTTGATCTTTTCCCAGCTTTCTTCTTTCTTAATTAAAGTAACTGTTAATTTTGTAATCCATATATCTTTGCAATCCGATGTTTTAGACCTTTGATATTTCAAAATATGAATTCTGTTAAATAGAAAAGATAGTATACAGGTTTGAGATGAGACTAAAAAGACGACTTGAAACTAATAAGACGATTTAACCTTTACTCAGTTCAATAAAAATCGGTACAGTCGTCTCTGAAGTCTCATCCTTGGTTGGTAACCCTGTGAGTTTAAAACATCAATTCTTATTTCAGGTTTGAAAGATTTTGTGGCAAGAACTCAGTTACTATGTTCAGAAAAAAAACATCAACCATTTACCTGCTTTACGGTCTTTAAGTCTAGCTAGTGCTGTACTAGTTATCATCTATCATGATCGAATAGAAGTCTAGCTAGTGCTGTACTAGTTATCATCTATCATGATCGAATAGAAGTCTAGCTAGTGCTGTACTAGTTATCATCTATCATGATCGAATAGAAGTCTAGCTAGTGCTGTACTAGTTATCATCTATCATGATCGAATAGAAGTCTAGCTATTGCTGTACTAGTTATCATCTATCATGATCGAATATTTCGTATTGATGCAACTTACTTAGCAACTGTATTGGGTTTTGTCTCTTGCAGTGATCGTTTCATCTTCTCTACACCTTCGTACTCCTGGATGGTTCTAATCACGCCGCCATCATCATCATCATCATCATCATCATCATAATCGTCATCATAATCATCATTTGTATAATCGTAATCATCATATTGATCATCACTGATCTCCATATCGTTATATGTATTCCTTCCTTCAGCACTCAGCAGACAATTCAATCCTATATTAAAGAGACTGTTACTGCCTCACAGGTCAGATTCACAACTTTACCATTTAAACCTTTATGTAATAACAATGAGAAAGGTTCAACAGTGAGAACCAGAAAACTATAGAATAAAAAGACGATAATGATTAGGTGTATTTGATGTGTGATGTTTTACTATGTAGTAACTTGTTAAATCACTTATCACGCAAAATGGGTCTGTTTACAAGGCACAATAGCTCTGTCTCTTGATTTTTGAACTATAAAAATTCATAAGTTGAGTCTAAAAGTCGTCTTCATATTCCAGAGTTTTTTGCTCTCACTGTACATACTTTCAAAACAAGCTGTGATTTACCTTCCAATTGTTTCAACAAATAAGTTTTCTGTTTTTAGGTAGAAAAAGAGGATTATCTCCATCATTTATATCTCAGACAAATGTTTATAGAAAAGGGGTACTTTTGTGAATCATACATGTCACTTTTTGAATTGACGAATTTTGTAATAAGAGGCCAAATTTAAAGAATTTGAGCCTGGCTCAAATATGGTTGTTTCCACTTAAAATCATATTTAATGTTTCAAGATTTAAACCGGCGCTCAGTTGAAACCGGTTTGGGGGAAATTTGAGACGAGGCTCAAATTCATTAAATTTGGACTCTGGGTTGTTTACCTTGAACAATAACGGCAAATAGCACAATAAACTTCATTTTTTTAACATATATGTNCTAGGTGGGATGGAACAACTGTTAAACTGTTAATTATATTTTGTTAACAAAACACAAAGGAAAAAAGCTAGGAACAAATGAAAGTATTAAAACCTTCAAATTTTTTACATAAATAATTTATTCTTTCTTCTTGCATAATTTGATTTATGGAAGCGCAAGGTGCAGTGTTCAACACAAATATAGTTTTTCAAAATTAATTTTATTTTGATAATTTGTACATAAACTCTGAAAATCATTTGCATTGATGTAAGAGATAATTAGCGTAGGTTTTTCATAATTTCAATCATTCTGATAATTATAATTTTTATAACAAATATTTGTTTGAATTTTGTAAACATCCTTTAGTTCAGACTTAATTTGATTAAATAATATCAAAATATAATAGTCAATAATATACAAGTTTGGTTCCTGGAAGTGAAGCCTTGGAAGAATATCCCATTAAAGAGACTGTAAGCGTAATTTCAGTTGACTCTTCATGCAAAGATAGAATTGCCCGATTTAGAACAGTACCCTTATAAGCTTTGATCAAAAATAAATGAGAAAGCCAACTTTTACCTTAAAAAATACAAAAATAAAGTGCGCGCATTTTAACTTAAGAAAAACTTTTAGGAATTATCATTGAAAAACGGCAAAATGTTTCACATTATTGATCAAATTAAGATTTGAAGGTATGCCGTTGTGAATCAGGTATTGTCATTTTTACAGGGAGGATCACTTAAAATTACGCTTACAGTCCCTTTAAGCCTTCTGACATACATGTAGGTCCAACGTTGTTAATCCAATAATTTTAACAGAAAACCTTTGAATTTTTTAATTTTAGAATGTTCAAAAAATATTTAGACATAAAACCAATATTTATAACTACAAGGATTCCAGAGCGCTTTGCGCCCGTCTTCGATTTGATCTTTTAACGTTACTCTTTCATAGATTTTCTTTCGGGGATTTTTAAAAATCAAATTTTCTTTACGGTATATTTTGTTCAAGTCTAGTTTAACCGTTTTGACGTTTTTCCGTTACAAACAAGCAGACAGACAAGCAAAGTATATATATATATATATATATTATTACTTTGGAAGAGGCTGAAAGCCTAGTAATTAAATATATTAGAAGTGTGGTGAACTATTAATGCGTATATTAATTATCCCCCGTCGTCTCTTCCTAATGGAACCCAGAACCATCATATATAAGTGATTAATTGATTAATTGGTTAATTAATTAAATGATTAATATGTTAATTGATTAATTGGTTAATTGATTAAATGATTTATATGTTAATTGATTAATTGGTTAATTGATTAAATTATTAATATGTTAATTGATTAATTGGTTAATTGATTAATGGGTTAATTGATTAAATGATTTATATCTTAATTGATAAATTGGTTAATTGGTTAATTAATTAATTTGTTAATTTGTTAATTGGTTAATTTATAAATTGGTTAATTTATTAATAGGTTAATTTATTAATTGGTTAATTTATTAATTGGTTAATTTATAAATTGGTTAATTTATTAATTGGTTAATTGATAAATTGGTTCATTTATTAATTGGTTAATTTATTAATTGGCTAATTTATTAATTGGTTAATTTATTAATTGGTTAATTTATTAATTGGTAAATTGATAAATTAGTTCATTTATTAATTGGTTAATTGATTAATTAGTTAATTGATTAATTAGTTAATTGATTAATTAGTTAATTGATTAATTGGTTAATTGATTAACTGTAACTAGGTAACCAGGATAACCAGGTAAATAGTAAACTAGGTCGGTAAATAGTAAACTAGATCGGTAAATCGTAAACTAGGTCAGTAAATAGTAAACTAGGTCGGTAAATATGAGTTTTAGGTCGTCTTTACAGTTTCATCCGTTGTGAGTAACCCTGTATGTAAGAGAACAATGTGTAGGAAGAGGCGAAAGGATGGGTTGAAGGAAGGAGGTGATGAGCGAGATGAGCAAATCTGTTATGTTTTTATCTATTTTCATCTCAAGGGTTAAATAGGTTTTAGAAGTTTTAAAAGAAAGTTTTCGGATTGAGTAGAAAGACATAGTTTGTTCCGTTATAGGTTTAAAACCAGCGTAGCTATGGTCGGTAAACTAAGAAAAATAGGTCGGTTAAAAGTGTAAAAATAGGTCACTATAAGACGGTATTTTAGGCGTAACTAAGTCGGTAAATTGCGTAACTATAGGTTTGTAAAATGGTAAAAAGTATAACCATATTTTAGTAAAGAAGCGTAACTTTAGGTCAATTATCAGCGTAACAGTCGTAACAGTGTTGGTAGATTTCGTAACCATGCGGCTTGGTAACCAGGCCTGTTCAGAAATTTTTACAAATTACCTTTTCATTATTTCAAAATTGGAGTCAAGTTGCATCTGCGTAAAGTTTGTTTTGCGTCATGAAAGGCAAAGAGTACCAAAAAATGAGTGTTATGAGCCTTCAGACCAACGGAAATTTAAGTCATGCATTTGTGTTCCAATCTAAATATACAGAAAATTCAACAAATAGTCCCTGAAAATGTTTCTTCTTTATTATTCATGTTGACAGGCTTTTTCTGAATGAACTGAGCCGGCAAATGTAAAATTTGAAAAACTGTCACACTCTTACTGAATGAGATTATTTCTATTAAGCTGAGAATAAATAAATATCAACAACAATTTTCTGTTTTTAAACAAATATTCAATTATTTCTCAGAAACATCTTTTTTAATTTCCTGTTATTGGCTTAGAAACCTCAATTAGACTTTAAAATCTCAGAAGTTCCGGAATTTTTCAATGGTTTTAAAAAAGTTTCTAAAAATCTTATTAATAAAAAAATGTTAAAAGAATAAAAAACGTTTAATTTAAAAGATTGTTTTTTTTTAATTGGCATTAAAGTGTTATTCTTTCTGAGTAACCCTGTAGTGAATAAAGTACCGATTTTTAGAAAAATTAATGAAAAGATAAATTATTTTTACTTTTTGTTTTTTCCTCAATAATAACATTTTATTTTAAATGCGCCAATGTTTTTAAATCTGGCATCATGGCCCAGAAATTACTTTTTTTTAATCCTTTTGCTACCCATCAATAGCCCTAGCTAGGGTGCCTGAAATTATATCAAAATTGTATTTCAGGTTTTAATAAATTACAGGAAGAAGTAGGTTGAAGGATGAAGTAGGCAAAAGATGATATATTTCTAGGATATATATTTATGATATATATATGATATATTCTGTTATGCATGAATAAATTAGGAAAACACAATGTCTGTATAGTAATCTATTCTTTCAAAACAAACCAACCAAGAAAATGTCCTGAATACAATACAAGTTCCGTAGGATAGGACAGGAGAGAAAAGATGGTTAACATCTTTTGTAATTTAAAATGACCTCTATTTAAAAAGGTGTTTGCCCGATGCACAGCCTTTATCTGATCAATAATGTGAAAGATAAACATGATTTTTTAGAAATGCGCAAGTCAGAAACAAAAATAAAAAGTGCTTAGTTTTCAAAATTACAAACATGGATTTCATTATCTACTTCATACCGGATCAGACAAAGATTCTGGTACCGTTGGGAATGGGACATGCCACTCTAAAAATGGAGTTTTACTCAAACTTCAGTCCCTTTAAAAAGATTACTAGACTCAAACTCTAATGTTCTTATATATCCCTAAATCTTTGCATCCTGAATCATGTGTAAACCCTTGATATTTCAGTTTAATTTTCTATATCTATATATTGATTGTATTGGTGTTTGTTTGTATTAATAAACTACAAAACAGCTGAACCGATCGGGTTCAATTTTTTTGTGTCAACTTGCTCGAAAAAAGTCGACTTTGCTATTTCAGAAAATGCATCAATTTAATAAGAAAAATCATCGAAAGTTTGGTTTATTATTCTTTGTTTTAAAAAGCTACAATTAAAAGATGAAATTATTACTTTAAAAGAGATTCGGAGTGCCCTAAAATCCCGGTTTTGATTAAAAAGGTTACCCTGATTTAGTTTTGGGAATCGAAAGGTGAGCATGGTGGAAAGAGTATAAAAAGTATTTTCTTGTTAGAAAGTTGAAACAACCCTATTGTATAAACAATGTTTTAGGAAATGTAATGTTTTCTGCACAATTTCCTAATTAGCCTTTGGTCATTACTTTTCTCATTAGAAGGGGATGGAAGGGGGGGGGTCTCATAGNCTCATAGCATTTATGTGTTTTGCTTTATTTAGCAAGAATACCAAAATATCAAAAAACAGGAGTTGATCGATTAATTGTACGCTATAGCAGCAAAGGATAAGTTTTTAATACCGTTAAGGTGTTTTTTTCCCTTTGAACTAATTCTTTCTCCTTCTTTCTCTCTCCCTTTCTTCTTCTTTCTCCTGCTTTTTTTTCTTTTTTCTTCTTAATCCCTCTCTTTCTCATTCCTTTTCCTTCTTATACCCTTCTTTTTTCCTCATTTTCCTTTTTTTCTCTCTTTGTCTTCTTCTTTCTCCTTTTTTAAAATTCTTTACTCTTCTTTCTCCTTTTTTAAATTCAAATTTTAATTAATTTTTTCCTTCTTTCTCCTTCTTTCTGACTCGTGTTCTTTTCTCTTCCTTTGTCTCCTTCTTTTACACTCGTTAATTTTCTTTAATCCAACATCTTTCTTCTTCTTTATACTTCTTTCGTTATCTTTCTCTTTTTATCACTTCTTCCTTCTTCTTCTTTTTCCATCTTTCTACTTCTTTCTCCATCTTGCACTTCTTCATTTTATCTTTCTTTTCCTCCATTTCTCTTTTCCTCTATACTTCTTTTGGTGGAGTCTTGAATTTATAGGATAAAGCTGTTTTCTGTCTTCTGTTATTCTTCCCTTAAGTTTCACTCTCATCCTTAAATCTCCAAACGCAATTAGCAATTCACATGTATGTTCGCATACATAGTGCATTGTACCTATTTTTTCTTTCCAAAAATTTCTTCTAAATTTTTTTTCATTTTCCAGTGAATTTGAATGTCGTGTCGGGTATTCAGACTGTTTCACTTTTCGATGTTTT